ATTTTTTACGAGCTGAGAAGCAGCTTTTATATGCCTCTAGAGGATGCACAATGGGCCTAAGGAGATCCAAATGGGACAACCCATATTACAGATACCACTTTTATATTTCCAATTTGCTTTTCACGAGTTACTTCAATGTACTGTAAGACTTATATTCCGCACAACTATTTTTCCAAAACTGTATGAATTAAGTTTTAAACTAATTTTTGGTTCACCTAACACATAATTAATTTAGAATCAGCAAAGCTCTCAAATGTTTATTTTAACATGGAATAAAACATGTCAATATTATTAGGTAACATGTGAGCCACAAAAATGTTCTCTAATTTGTCCATGACAAATCAAAACAAATGTAAGCCATGTCTGAGATCCTATTACATATGTCTCGAAGACATGACTCATCTCTGTTTTTGTCGGTCAACTGAAGAGAAAAATGGTGCAGCTCATATATTAACTAAGATTCGGTATAGTGTTCTCCATGAACCAAAAAATTAACTAAGCTGCCTTATTGATTATATAAATATTTCAGAATCCTTGTTAAACAAGTCGTATGTAAAAATCAGGTAATTATTAATGAACCAATATCATTGAAAGCTTTTCTTTCAATTTCCTAAATATTTATAATTCAAAGAATGAGATCTTACATTAAAAATGTAAAAATGTTTAGCACAATAATAATAGTGTAAAGTAGGGAAGATTCTAATTATGTTGTTGAAAAGCATAGTACGGTAAAAAAATACAAAAGAGTAAGGGTAGGAAATATTAAAAAAGAGCTGCAATATTTATACACTGTGTCTCAGAATAGGCACTCCACTGGGTGCAACCTTATTGAAATATAAAGCATCAAAGTGGTTTTTCTCTTCTGTTTTTCTGTATTTTGCCTTAAAACATATATTCTTAAAAAAAAGACAGGTAGTTTATGCATGTACCTATATTTTTAAAAAATTACCTCTAAAACGTATACGAGCAATTTCATTCATATTTATTAGTTTCAAAAAATGCAGAGCTGAACTTCAAGACGTTGTCAAGTCCAACTCAAAAATATTTGTCATTTATACCTATTGGTATGTCTATTCTGGCACACAGTGTATATAAGCTAGTACGTGTTATAGTCAATAATTTGACTTAAAAATATGTAACAATTTTGTAATTTTCAATATGAAAACCAATTTATCTAATATAAATTATTAATAACAATTTCCAAATTTAATAAGGAAAGTAATACGAATTTCAGGACCAGATATTTCAGAATACTTTTCAGATTTCAGGTACATTTTAGACTATTTCTTTAAAAGGTTTTAGACATTGACATTTTCTAATAGTAGAAAAGCCCACTGCAAAGGACCAGGAGGCATCTTTCTTATGGAAAAAGGGCTTTCCATCAAATTTTTTGAAATGTTGATATGTTGTAGAACTAAATGCTCTGACCAAAAGTGTACATTGGCCCAAACCGATTCTATGACTTTCATGTACAGGGTTTTGGAGGTATATTTCTCATAACACATCTGCTATATTCACGTTTGTTTTAGAAAACTATAGATTATTTGACACCAATATTTTATATAAAGTTACTGTGGAAATTGGTTGATTACAGGGCGATTCCGAAATACGAAAGATTTTTTTTAAATAATTTTTTTATAACAGCCTTAAAAATATAAACAATGATCATTGTACCATGATAATATGGTTTAAGTAATTGCTTCTTGATGATATTTTATATAGGGTGACTCAGAAATATGGTCATAGAGGGCATATATTGTTTTTCGGTTTTTCCATAAGAAAGGTGCCTGTTCCTATCGGCCGTCATCTGATAACGAAATGAAATATGCTCCAAAGGCATGTAAGAACATTGTACACCTGTGCCAATCACTATCCTGAGCAAAATGATCAAAACAAATATATTTTATATTCATAATATCACTTGGAGATTGGCACAAATTCCGTTTGGTAAAGCACAATGTTTTTACATGTCTTCAGGGCATATTTCATTTCGTTATCGGATGAGGGGCAAACTTTGTAGTAGGCTATAATTAGATATTTTTCAAAAACGCAAAATAATTTAAATATTTCGTATTTTATTAGCGAATTAATTTAAAACTCGAATCAGATATATTCCAAAATATCCGTAATCTAGGGATAATACTTGTGGGTAAAGAAAAATTTTATGCTAAATTTTGCCTCGTGTTTTGGAAAAATCTCAAGGTTTGTTCCAACAGAGCAAAAATGATATATTGTACCTTAATAAAATAAGATATTTAAAAATGATTTATAATTTTTTTATTGTTTCCATGATATGATTTTATTTAAGTATCGATTGGGAACCAATTAAGGCATTTATAAAAAAATGGGCTAAGGAAGCTATAGGTAAATACACTAGTATAAGATTTTTCAGCCCCAAAAAAATGTTTTTTTTAACATTCAAATGATATCTTTACTGATATCTAATTAATAATAAAACAAAATTTCTTCAGCTAAGTGTTGAAAAATTAAATAGTTCTCATAGGTATTAAAATTTCATACACAAATTGAAAGTGGCAAATATGTCATACAAACAAAAACAATAATTGTGATATTTTAAAATAGAGAAAATGTGGAATATTAAAAATGAAATAAACATGTTAGAAAATAAAGTTAAGAAGTTCATTTAGAAACGTGAACCAACAATTTAATCAGCATATTAACAAAGAGTAAAAATATATTAGGAACAACGACGAACAACTACTAGACTAATTGAATTGCAAACATTCACAGTGTCATCCACGTAGTTGTCAAATTATCATGAAAGAGTGTGGGAGAGTATTGTTACAAGGATTGTTTATGGTTATAATTCGGTATTTACTAAAACATAAGGCTTTAAAGTGCACAAAATATTTGCATTTTTAATGCCAGTTATTATCAGTTGAATGTATTTTTCTTGTTACAGTTTCCAGGATATACACACTTCCAAAGCTACAGACAAAATCAGAGAGGAGGTGTATTATTATATTTATAAAACAGCATAAATGAGATCCAATTTAATTCTAGCCTTAGTGAAAATTATAATAATTATATTGCTTCGGAGATTATATCAGTATGAGTTGAGATCAAGATGCTTCTGTCATGTATTTACATCCTGGACTTGTTGGAATGCAAGAAAATACACATTTGATAGATATTAACAAGAAAGCATCAGAAAAAAAAACAAATGTTATATTTGGAGATTTTAACTATCGAGAAATAGACTGGGCAACTCTAACACTGACTGAAAGCAACATAGAAGCGAGTCCAGTTTCAAACAACTTATAAATGTCCCTACTAGAGTGCGCAACGGTTAGGAATCCATGCTCTACTTACTATTAGTCAATGGCAAAAAACTTATAACATCCATTAACTCTGAATAGCCTATTGGTTTGAGTGATCATGTATTCATTAAAACAGTAGCAAAATTTAACATCCAAACTGATTAAATATTAATTCTAAAGCATACGTAGGATTCCCCACTCGACCATTCACTGTTGGGTTCTAATTAACAGTGCCGTTCCTGAAGTAACGCTGGAAAACAGTAACAAAGCCTGCACAGAATACACATGAATAAGAAATTAAAAGAAATTAAAAAACAAACTGAGACTGCCATGAATCGAAAAAAAAAAAAAAACATCCAAACTGAATCAACATATAGTGTTAAAAAGAAAAACTTCAGGAAAGCATCAGAAGCACAACGTCGGCAGTCACAGATATGATTACCAACATCAGACATTACGTGGATAAAGGCAATGCATGTATCATTGTTTCACTTGATTTAAAGAAGGCGTTTGATACTGTTAATCACTCAGTACTGTTATCTATTTTGGAAGACTATGGAATAACAGGAAATGCATTGCCTTTCTTCAGAGATTATTTCAATGGTCGTACACAGTTTGTAAGTAATGGAAATACCTCAAGTAAAATGGTTGATCTACAATATAGTGTACCCCAGGGGTCAATTCTTGGACCAACGTTATTCCTGATCTATATAAACTCCATAGCTCAGCTACCATTAGCTGGTTATTTGTAACTTTATGCTGACGACGCTTGTCTCATCTATTTTGGAAAAGATACAGATGAAATAAAGTATATTATAAAGCATGATCTAATCGAAATTCTTGAGTGATTAAAGTTTCATAAATTAACTCTGAATTCTGAAAAGTCAAGTTTTTTAGTGATATCAAAAAAGCCTGAATGGAACCAATTCCAAATAAATATAGACCATGAACAGTTGACTAGGACAGAATGCATTAAATATCTTGGCTTATACATAGATTCCAAGCTCAACTGTGAACATCATATTGCTAAATTGTGTAAAAAAATTAGTCCTGCCATTGGAGTATTGGGACGTGTTGCCTGTTACCTTTCAGCTGACATAAGGAAGCTTGTATCATTCACTAATTCATTCAAATCTATCATATTTAAGTCTTATTTGTAGCAAAACTTCCCAAAATAGACAAAAACCCTTGCAAATTCTACAGAATAGAGCAATCAGAAAAGCTTTTCAACTTCCTTTTTGTCATCCTACTGATCTTTTGTATTGTATTCTTTTTTTTATTATTAAACTTGATGGAACCTTAAGCAGATTATACATTAATCAATAGTGAGATAGCTCAACATAGTGCACATTTGCAAGATGCTGCTAATACAAAACTTTAACAAACATACTGCACAAAGTAATAAATGACAATATTACACTAGAAGTAATAGATAAAAACCATGAAAAACCCTGGATCAATCGAACTCACTTCAAAGAAATTAATAAAAAACGGAACCTATGGCATAGGTGAACAAGAGCTGAGAAAGATTATGCTGCATGTAGAAATCAGAACAATAAAATTAAAAATGTATTGGCTGTATCTACAATAGAAAAGATTTTGAACATAACCTCTTAAAAAGTTGGGAAAAGAAATTTTACTATGTGAAAAGAAAAGAAAGAGTTGAGAATGGCTCAGTAAATATATAATTTGCCACAGAAAAAGTGAAATTTGCAATAGATGATCCTAAAACTGTACACGACTTACATGAGACCAAAGATAGAATTTGCACAGACCATTTGGGATCCATACTTTGTTAAAGGCATTGAACGGCTGGAAAAGGTAGAAGGGAGAGTCACCAAAATACCACCAACCCTAGAAAAAAATGAGTACAAGTGGACCAGCAGATATTACACCTGTGATAACATCTTCCAGGCCAGCACATTAAGAACCTTGAGAGATCACTTGAAGAAATTAGATAAAGAAAAGTGGAATGGTCTCCCTCCAGAAACATACAGTCTCAGCCTAGAACATAAACCAGTTCTGGTGAGAGTGGATAAAGAATTCAAAGAAGGAAGAAATAATTTTATTCATTATAGTTTTATAGTATATTAAGTTTTAACTGTCATGTAGTAATTTAGAATAATTTTTGTCACTAAATTAAAGAGCAGCTTCATTGACTATGGCGCCTGTTCTTAACAATAATATTGGTGTTTTTCAGGAAAGTACACAATTAATTTTGAAGTGTGACAGCAGTGTAAAGCAAGCGTAGTAGACGTAAATACTGATTCATTCATAAAACGCATGCTTGCTCCTCAGATAAGCAAGCTTGCTCCTCAGATAAACATACTTGCACAAACCACCCCCACTCAAATTAGCAGATGTCTCCTTTTTTCTAATGTGGCAGCCAATGCAATAGCTCTGTCTGCATAATATTAAACACAATTTGAATGATTGCAATAAAAAAGGGCTTAATTATGAATGAATGTATTAGTAGTTTATCGTCGTAGGAACATCTAAACAACCCAGCTGCTTGACAGTAAACAGATAATTATAATTTTAATTATTTTTATGAGAATATTAATTTTTCACCAGTTAGTAGAACTAATTATAATAATTAAATAACAAAATAACGAACACAAAATAAATAAAAAATAAATAAGTAATACAGACTCTAATAAATTATGCAGTCTAAGATAATTATTATGTCTTCAGAAGCCCCCAAACAGTAGATACAAATTTATCATGAGTTAACTTATGGGCATTGTAATAGTGTTTCATAACAAACTGTTTATGACATAATTCACATGTATAACTAGCCTGTTTGTTATGAGTTTTTCTATGTTTAATTAGATTATCATTTCTAGAGAAGCTTTTATTGCATATTTGACATGTAAAATTTTTCTGACCAGAGTGTAATGTACTGTGTCGTAATAGATGCTCCTTTCTCATAAAAGCTTTATTGCAATGCTCACAAATATAAGGTCTAAACCCTGTATGAAGCTTAACGTGCTGATAAAGATGCTCTCTTCTCTTAAATGCCCTCTGGCATACCTCACACACATGTGTTTTCTGAGTATTATTATTTGAACTACCTATTAAATTGTTATTAATATTTTGTTCTATTTCTGTTTTAGTAATGTCAGTGTTGTTTTTACATATTTCTGATTCAGTCTGTAAATTTCCAGATATTACATTTGTATAAGCAGGTTGATTTATTTCCTGCAAATTCTGATTTATAACATTTAAAGCTGAGCTTTCTACAGTGGAGGCAGTGTTGGCTATTACATTTGCTGAAGTACTACTGACAAAATTTAGATTTGGTTGGGTATAAACTACATTACTGGAATTAAAGTTATTAAAATTTTGACTATATTCTGAAATGGGGAAAATTACTGTTTGGTTTTGTGGTTTCTCATCTGTTTTTAAAGAGTAAGCAAACTTATGATTTTGAGTGCTTCTTATATGGGGCAATTTATTAAATTTAGTACTATTGCTTTCTAAGTCATATTCAGAATTATCTGATTCAGTTAAATCGATTTGAACAATACTATTTTCTTCATTATTTACATGTTTATTTTTTGCAGATTTATTTTTAGTTTTTAAAGCATTTCCTTGGTTTAGAATTGTTTCAAAATCTCCCATGTGTGCTATATTTATAACTTCCCCATTTGAATTTACTACAACATTACTAACAATTTCAGCTTTTGGAAGATTGCCTTTAATATTTGAGGTGTTTATTAAATTCAGATTATAGGCAAATTGATTTTGGGATAATTTTGAATTTTCGGCGGATTTTTGTGGTTTACTAACAATATTGGGGTTTGTAACAATAGTTGGAAGTTGTAAGGTGTAAAAAGGTACTTGTTCAACATTCTGATGATTCTTGTTAATGATAACATTTTGTGGCACTGAAACTGTCTGCTGTGCTGTATTGACTCCTCCACTGGTAGTAGGTTCAGCACTTAATACTGTACCACTTTTTATGTCTTTAATATATACTTTCCCAGATTTTTTGAAATCCTCTGTATATCTAAAATTCTTAAAATAAGTGGAAAGCATAGATTCAGAGCGGACACATTCTTGTCTGAATCCATAACAGGTTTCAAGGGAACGCAAACATTTTGAACATACAACTTTTGGCAAAAAATCATTTTCATTGACCTAAAAGCATATATAGGTTTTTAGAAAAGATTCTCTCTAGAAATTAGGACTTCCTTACAGTTAAAGCTAGGCAAACTTCTATCTTGTTTTGAAGTTGGATTTTTCTTCCTTCTTCTTGGAAAATATGAGTCTTTTCTTTTTGAGTGTTTGAAGCACATAATCTACATAGCTCATAAAAACTAACTCGTTTGTAACCTGACATTAGTAAATGCAAATATTTTGAAAAAAATGTTCATTTGAAGATTATCGATATTTATTTTTGTTGTCAGTGTCAAAAGTCAAACAATATTTGACATTTGGCTTGACATTTTTATCTTTTGTCGTCAAAGACCTTTTATAAGTAGACTAGAAATTCAATTTTTTAGTACATAATACACAACAGCATTGTTTGGCAAATAAAATTATACATTTCAAAAGCACACACCAACATACAAAGCTCCTGAAGACCAACGGAAGTAGCATGATGGTCTACAGGTGCTTCAGAATATATATTATTCAAGCTAAACCAAATTCAGTAGAAATTCAAAATCTATGCGATTAATAGTGTCCAGTTTCCTTTGACTAACATTTTGTTTCATGGTTTTCTTCCACTTCAAAGAGTCAGAAGAACTAGTTTTTATAAATTTTTATACTTTTTTTAAATTTTGGTATATAAATTGTAATTTTTTGTAATCGCAGCAAGTGTCAAAATGATCTGCTTTATGTAACCACTGTAACCACTTACATAAAGTTGAACATTATGCAACTTGTTACGAAATAGCTACTTATGCAACCAATTACGAAATTCCCTATTTTATGAAACTATTGAATATTTGCGAGGTGAGTAAAGCGAGGTCTTCGAGCATAATATATATTTCATAGAGTCCGCATTCAACAGCGTTTGTTTGGGTTATGAGGGGAAATAGGTAACTATTTTCAGTGTCGCATCATTTTTACGGGGTTTGCAATTAATATAAATAATAAATTTGATATATACCTTTAAAATCCTTTAAATTATGCACATATTTTATAAACTTGCAATATTTAAGTAGGTAAATTATTATTATTTATTATTATTATTATTAATGTTGGACACATCAGATTTTTTTTTAATTCAAACATCAGAAAGTGTATAATGAAAAAATGAAGGTTGAAATAATAGGCAATAAAAAAGATAAAGAGCTTATATTTAAAAATCAAAAATATAAATAACATAATGGCTAACCGACCGGCGGCGGTGCTTGCATTTGTTGAAAAGAAAACCGTCTTCCGGCGGCATGGTCTTCTTCATACAGGAAAGCCGCCGCAAATCTAAACTGATTTGTTGATCAGGGCGGCATGTTAGCAGTGAATTGAAAAATGCTGCCGGACGACGGTCTACTGTATTTAAAACATTGAATGCTTGTGGTAAGAAAAAATACTTGTAAAATCGTCTACATTTTTGTGGCAAATGATCATATGTCGTTCGCGTTTTATTTGTACATCGGTCTCCTTTTGACAGAGTAGATGAGCTGTGTCCAGGCCGTTGGTGTTTATGCCGGTCGGCGTAGCCAGGTATAGATTGAAATTTTATGGTGGCGGTGAAGCCGCCATCCTACGAGAAGTCGTTACCTCGTCTTCTTGTTGTCACGGCATTATTATTATTTGTTCATGTATGTGAAATTTACTTCTAAGGTTTATAAAATACTACTGCTAGTCACGGCGTAAACGAAAACAAACAAGACGCATTCGCACAAACACCTCATACCACAGCAATTACAAATTATTAATGTTGTCCCCGATACGCGAGTTTTTTCCGGCGGCATTTAATGTTTCAAATACAGTAGACCGTCGTCCGGCGGCCTTATCAATACTCTGATAGCCTGCCTCCCTCATCAACAAATCAGTTTAGATTTTCGGCGGCTTTCTTATAGTGAGAAGACCATGCCGCCGGAAGACGGTTTTCGTTTTATTAAATTCAGCTACCGCCGGCGATCGGCTAGCCAGTACGTATAAATAAATAGCAGGTTTATTATAAAAATATTTATGATATCTATAGGTCTTTTCCTTTGCATCGAAAGTGTAGCTCTGAGCTACACCACTTCTGAAAATATCGTTCCATTTATACAAATTGTATGGATGGAACAATATTTTCAGAAGTGACGTAGCTCAGTGCTACACTGTCGATGCAAAGGAAAATACCTATTAACACACGTGTACGAGAATTACATTAAAAGAATTTTTCCCAATAATTTATTAAATATAAAAATATTGTTCGTAAACAATGTTCAATAGATTACTAAGAGCCGATTCCACCGTTTTGTTAAACGGAGATTAAAGTGATATTGGTAATGTAAAAATGTCATTTTAAACTTCGTTTAACACAACGGTGGAATCGGTCCTAAACGATATATTGCAAATAGAAATCAAGCTAATACTTTAGGTACATTTGCATTGCCAGTCGTTAACAAATAAGTGAAGCTTAATTTTTATTGGAAAACTGTCTTAAGCTTTGAATATTTCTTAATAAATAGGAGTACAAATAAAGGAAGCTTAAAATGACTTTTTTATTGAAAAACTCACATTAGGCTTTGCTCATTTCTTAACAACTAGCAGTCTACTTAATTAAAGAACATAGGTATATTTATTAAAAAAAAATATTGTCAATTTTTATTGTTTATAAAAAATATAGTTAGTAATAGGTAAGTACCACATACTTTGATTACTATACGGTGCAAGAAAGAGGTCCGACACGCCCAACATAGAGTGCGGCCATTTTGATGCCTTTACCACAATTTATAGCTAAAGAATCAGTTCGCTCACTCTGCGTCGGCACTTTTGATCTCAATGTTCCAGTTTATACACTGCGCAACTCGGATAATACAATATATGACAACCGCCTATAATAAAACAGCAGTCTTCTGCGCATCCTGAATTTGTATCCCTGGAGTGGATGTTATTTAGGAACTTTCAACTGGTCCGAGTGAGCTAACTGATTCTTTAGCAATAAACTGTGACTCCAAAAATTCACTGACACTGACAGCAGCAAGCAAAATATCAGGTGCGTTTTAATCATCCGCTTCTGCTTCCGGAATTGTCGGTTTAGTCGTTTTAACCTGTCAGATTAAAACAAGAAAACCGACAATTCTCCGTTTAAAAGGCACTAAGAAAGCTGCGTAGTGCGACCATTCTCCGTATGTAAGAGAAAATCAAAGTATGTGGTAAGTACCCATGGTATGTAAGTACCTATTGGAAAATAAAATTTGTTGTATTAAAAAGTACTTAATTACTTATATGCTTTCTAATTCTGCATTTTCTTTTTCTGCAACAGAGGCTTCATGAAAAATTAAAAATTTTGAACGATTAACCCATAAGAAAAGTGCAGGGTTCTTTGCCTTTTATATTCATCTTCTTCTGGGGCCTCGGTAAGTACTAATGGAAATGCTCCTGGAATTAATTTAGTTCTTCCTCCGCATCCAGTCTTTGACATAAACATATGTCCAGAAAAATAATTGGATCATAAAACATCACTATTTGAAATGTTTTCTGGAGTAAGCTTCAATATGTTTCACTAAATGCGTTTTTCGGCAGGATTAGTTGGAAACCTACAAAAAACAAAAATTACTGATTTAACATCTTCAACATTATCATGATAAAATGAGTTAAAAACGAAAAGTTTGTTTATATTGATAAAATATGATTAATTTTTTTAAACTTTTTAGTAGTGTCCAAAATCTAAAACAATATATTCCTCATACATAATACAAGTTCTTTAAATTTAATTCACTAAATTTACCATTTATTTTAAATTCATGTTTAACGGCCTTTTGCATAAAATGTAGGTAGGTACTTATATTTCTTTTAAAAAATTGGTAGAGACACGCTAATGATTAGTAATCTATGCGCTAATGGTTACTTACTTGTGAAATGACCTTGACGATGCGTTTTCGTATTTCTATTTAAAACTTACACAAACTCTCACCATTATTAAAATTTGTATCACTAAAGTAATAAAATACAAAAAATCACTTATAAACTACAAAAATAAGCTAGAAATTAATGAAAATCAAAAATCAAATGACAGTTCTGACAATTTAGAATGATTTGACATGCCAAGCAAAACGAAACGGACCAATGGGAATACTTGACACTATTTTATCCCCCTGTACCAAAACAAAGTCCATTTGGACGATGGCTCTAGTAATATATGCTCGAAGAGCGAGGTTCAGAAACATTAACGAGTTAAACAAATTTTCTAACGTGTTACATACATTATTTTTTCTAATTTTGAGCAGATTATTTATAAAATTTTGTTTTAGTAAAAAATTACTGACATCTATGCAACCAATATTACTTTCTTGTATGGTTAGTTCTTCGAGCAAGGGTTAGTTGCATATTATGGATAACTTGTGTAAATTCTCTTCTTGATTCGGTCGCACAAATAAAACCTAATCAAATAGTTAAAAGAAAAATTTTACATTAGATTTGAACGTCAGTGGTCTTGTGCAATGAAGTAGACAACTTCTTTGGTCTAGTGCTATTTTCTGTCAATGTTATTGTCATGTGTCTGTCATGACTGTCATTAGTGTCATTCATTCCACAGTTTTTTATTATTTTTACAGACGTCAGACAATCTGACTGTTTTTTAAACCAGTAGCTCATAGTTTGTGTTGTGATTAAAGAATGTGGTTTTGAAAATTTAAAAACTGTTAAAAATGGGAAACCAACATGGTCATGGATCAAAGTCTGGAACAGCTACTCCTAATTCTATTGCCAGTTCCCACAATGGCTCAAGGAAAAGCATTACGAGGACCAGTTCAGGTGCAGACATTCAAGAAAAACCTACTCAAATGTTACCTGTAGAAAAATTGGCTAAGGTGACGTACTTAAATAATATCTTATCACAAGAATTAGGAAATTGTACATTATTATATGACTGTCACATTTCATTAAAATTATGTACCTATTATGTAAATTTTCCTGTGATAATTTGCTCAAGGACAAACAATGATTCTTTTTTACAGATTTTAACTGAAAAATCGCAAAAACTGGAAAGTGTCAATGGTATTACTAAAGATGTTTTCAGTGTAAGTTTTCTTATTTCTCATTTTATTAATATGATTAACTGTTGCATTTATTTTTTCCAGAGATTTTTATTTCCAAGGTATCCAGTACTGGGAGAAAAATTGTTCAATCATTTTCTTAAACACAGCAAGTCGAAGAACAAACACATTGGATTGAATGCCTTTAAACATCAATGTGAAATATACTTAGGTGTAAGTTTTTACTAAAACCGTTAATTTATTAAAAGGCTAAAATATGAATATGGAATTCAAACTGTGGAGATAGTACATTTTTTCATTCAATGAATTTAATGAAATATGTGGTTTTCATGATGCATATTTGCACTATTTCACATTTCTTACTGATTGCATTTCAATAAACAACATTTTATGAAAACATGTTTTTTAGTCAATTTTAGAAAATTACTAAGAAACCTTAAGTAAAGAATTATTTTTTAATTTTTTAAACAAAGTACAAATGCTGAAAAAATGTTATTCTCAAAGTTACAATTTCACTGTACATTTTTGCCTGACCAAGCTTTCTTTAATCACCACAAATGAAAAGAGCCAAAAATCAATATTACTATTATAAAAAAAATTTCCGCAATGAAAAATATTAAGTGTGGAAATAATTATTCTTTACAAAATGATTTATATTGCATATTTTAAAAATTTCAAAATATATACCTAAATTCAAGGTGGTTCAAAATTATTGATTAAGAAAAATATTTTTGGTAATTAATACACATTTAACTCGTGTACATGAAAGAAAAAGTTTCTGAACTAGGCCATGAAAAAAATAACTTTTGTTAGAACTTTTAATTATTTTTTTACATAAAAAATATAAACCCCACCAAAACAATACTAGTAGCCTTTTCAAGGAAAAGAAATCTCATTCTTAAAACTAAAATTAGACAAGTTATATATAGAATGGAAAAAAGAACTCAAATATCTCTGCCTAACCCTGGATAACAAACTTCTCTGGAACATACATAAGAAGAAAGTAGTAAATAAGGTCACAAAAGCTCTAATGGTTTGCAGAAACATTGCAGGTAAAAAAATGTGGCTGTAACCCAAACACCCTGTGATGTATGCATAAAACAATACTGATACCAATCATCACTTATGTGGCTGAAGCTTGGAGTAACATAAGTAGTTTAGCTCCTACAAGAGCTAATATCTCAAAAGTACAAATACACTAGTCTGTGTTTGCATCACCGGTACAATGAGAAGCTGTCTTATGGCCGAAATGGAGGTGATTTTAAACCTCTACATTTAATGATAGTAGGCTAAAATACTTCTGGGTGAATATTAGACTGAGCCAAAAAAATAAAACAATTTTTTTCTTAGCGGAACTATGAAAATATTGTTCATGACGACAAAAAAAATTTTTCCTGAAAGTTTGAGCCCTTAATAATAATATTAAGAGGTGCAGCATTGCAGTTATTGATTTTTCAACAGTTGTCGCGTTTTTGCATAAATTTCGGACTTTGTCAATTTTAAAAAATTTTTTCATCTCTTATCCTTGTAGGAAATTAAATTCCCCACAAAAAAGCTCTCTTAGTAAATTTTCGTTAGTCGAGTCTATTCTTTGTAATCGAGCCTTAAACATTGGTATATATTTTCAATTTTTCACTTTGCGGATTTCCAAAATGAACTTAAATATAAAGATTACAAAGAATAGACTCGTCTTACGAAAATTTACTAAGAGAGCTTTTTTGTGGGGAATTTAATTTCCTACAAGGATAAGACATGAAAATTTTTTTTAAAATTGACCAAGTCCGAAATTTATGCAAAAACGCGACAACTGTTGAAAAATCAATAACTGCAATGATGCACCTCTTAATATTATTAAGGGCTCAAACTTTCAGGAAAATTTTTTTTGTCGTCATGAACAATATTTTCATAGTTCCACTAAGAAAAAAAATTGTTTTATTTTTTTGGCCCAGTCTAGTGAATATAACCAGAAAACATCGGAAGCCTGTATCAGCCTGAGCAAGAACAGGCTATGCATTGTAACAGAGATCCTTACTGGGCATGGCTGACTCAAAGGACACCTTAGTAAACTTAGAGTAGTAGAAGATAGTGAGTGCAGATTCTGTGAGGAGGAGGAGGATCAAACCTCCATTCATATTCTAACTGAATGTAGGCACTGCCAAATGCAAGGGTACTATACTTAGGAGTATACCAAATAGAAGAGATTGATCTACCTAACTTGAAGTCACTCCAAATCCTACACTTCCTTGAGAAGATAGAATTGGAAGTGTCTTTATAGGCTTCGAGACTATTTCTTCGATGCATTAGTGACAGAAGGGGGCACAATAGACCTTTTAGGTTGCAGTGCAATATTACCTCATACCCAACATAACATACTTAGTTAGAAATTATACAAACAAAACCACAAACATAATTATTAAAATCAATGCAAAATGAACATATTTATTAGGTTGTGAAATTACAAGTATTTCTAAATATTACAACATGGCAACAATGCTCCCAAATATTTGAATTTTTACATATTAGCATACATGCATGGCCAGCGTGTGTGTTAGTACATACCTTGCCTACAACTTTACCTAAGACAGGCTAAGATGAGTGACTATTACCAGAAAATCAGCCTGAGCAAGAAGAGGCTATGCATTGTAACAGGAATACTTACTGTCTCAAAGGACACCTTATTAAATAGAGAGTAGTATAATATAGTGAGTGCAGATTCTGTGTGGAGGAGGATGAAACCTCCATTCATATGCTGAATGTGTAGCACTCCCAAATGCAAGAGGCCCTACTTAGGAGCATACTAAATAGAAGAGGTCGTTCTACCTAACTTGAAGCCACTCCAAATCCTACACTTTCTTGACAAGATAGGATTGGAAGGATCGTTATAGAAATTGAGACTATTTTATTGATGCATTAGTGACATAATACACAATAAATCTTTTAGGTCGCAGTGCATTAATACCCCATCCCCAACATAACACATAAAAAATAACTGGCACATTCCAAATGATCCCATTCTGTACAAGATATGGAATAAATACAAATGGAAAATTAAGTCTTCTTAAGCTATACATCTACAGTGAGCACCATAAGTCTTACCCCCCCTATCTAACTCATTACTGGAGTCTTGTTAGGAAAATCGCCGAGACACGTCGATTTTTGTTTTCTACAATGTACATTTTTGTATGAATAGTTTACCCTTAATTTCATCCCTTACTGGAGGGGAGCAACCCTTTCGAAAAATTTAAATGGCATGGGGTGGTGAGTGATAGCTCATTTGAAAGAGAGTTTTATTCTCTATTCAACCGTGTAAACATTCTCGACTAATTGTTGTTTCAGAATAACGGAAATTAACGTAGCGCACTCATCCTTAGAATTAAAATTCGGCCCTGCATGATTTTGGTTTTGGTTAGGATGTGAAGTAAGACTTTTTGCCATTAGAAGGTCACTGTTAGTTTAGTTGCTTTCCTATTTTGTGAGGTTTTGTTATTTTTAAACATTAATAAATCAACACGTAATGAAGCAAATTTCAAATTTTTTTGCACGGTTGAATAGAGAATAAAACCCCCTTTCAAATGAGCTATCACTCACCACCCCATGCCATTTAAATTTTTCGAAAGGGTTGCTCCCCTCCAGTAAGGGATGAAATTAAGGGTAAACTAATCATACAAAAATGTACATTGTAGAAATCAAAAATCAACCTGTCTCGGCAATTTTCCTAACAAGACTCCAGTAATGAGTTAGATAGGGGGGGTAAGACTTATGGTGCTCACTGTATGTCTATAATATAAGCCTTTTTGACAAAGGATCGTTTCTGCATTAAAAAAAACTCTTTAATGTATATAAAAAGTATCTATAATATATTAAAAAAAGCATAATTTTGGACCACCTTGTACCTGTTTGTAATAATTAATGTAATTAACACAATCTTAAATATTTTCAAGGTATTTGGCATTCTACTTTTAAAATAAATTAAGACAAACTTTATGACTATTGTTTTAATAATGTGTTAACTACAAAATAAAATAATGAATATGAATAAATTCATATTATAGTACAGTGTGTTGCAAAAAGTATAGCCAACAAAACATGAATTTGTTTTTTAAATTTACCTAGAAAGGGCATTTGTTATTATTAATAAAAACTTTAAGTTAAGCATTATTTATGATTATTACAATTTGATTCTAAACTAACTTATCTAGGGTTGAAAACTTCGTAACTAAGGTCTTACTCACTAATGTACCTAGAGTCTAATTATTTAGTTACACTACTATTAACATGTATAGGTAACACTAAACTGCATTATACTCTGCTTTTAGCAAACATCACTGAATCAACTCAAAAAGACTCAGTTCTATTGAGTCTTCTTGCTACTTCTTGCTACTTTTACTGCACACTCCTAAAGCTGGATACATTATATCCATACCAGTTTCAATATCTGTCTTTAAAGAAGCAGTTTGTTATATGTGGACAATTTGGAGTTTTTTTATATAGCAACCAATTCACCCTTTTGTATTTTATACCAAGCTCTTCAAGTTTTCTTTTTGTCATAAAGTATATTAATTATATTTACTAAAAACTATGTGTTTAAATAAATTTGTCAAAATTAATTTCATAAGTAAAAGTTCATTTCTGTTGTTAGAAAGAAAAAAATTGGACGGCATTATTCAGAAAGCTACCAACTCTGAATAGTGACAAACTGAGATAATTAGCTGTAAAGTTTTTATTTAAAAAAGCTGGTAGGTTCATACAGAATGCAGAACATGTATTTTGTTACCCAAATCCACACCAAACCCAAAATCGGGTATATTGTGGGTTGGTAGCTTTCTGCATAATGCCATCTATTGATCTAAGTGGCTGTTTTCATGTTTTCTCATATTAATTCTAAACAAGTTTTTCAAGAAACATTTTCTTTCCTCTTTCATTTTTTTTGTCTCCCATGTATATAGTGCAACATTTTTAACAAGTTTAAGGTTCCATCAAGTTTATTAATAAAAAAGAATACAATTTGGTATATTTAGACCGAGAGCTTAAGACTATGTGGGTCTTACAAGGTACAAATTTTATAATATATCACAGAAGAAGAATTTGGTACCTGCTTAGTTATAATAATAGTTAAAAAAAAAATACAGTAATTTAATATCACACTATTAAACCCTATTTAAACATGAAGATGATCTTTTATTATATTCTTTATGGTGCTAGGATGCTCATTGTATTGTCTTAGACCATTAGATAGTATGCTTTGGTCACCAAAGCATGTTCTTACGGCTGTGGTTCTGAAGCAGCGATTATTCCGAGTATTATATCTATAGATATCATAGGAAGTAGTCAGTTGTATGGATGAGTGTATATTATTCAGAGATAAGTTATGAATAAAAATGCATGTCTGATATTTAGAGGGACTGAATGTCTAGAATATTATTTGGACGATACAAAAGATCAGTAGGATGATAAAAAGGAAGTTGAAAAGCTTTTCTGATTGCTCTATTCTGTAGAATTTGCAAGGGTTTTAGTCTATTTTGGGAATATTTGCTCGAAATAAAAGTTAAATATGATATTGTGAATAAATTAGTGAATGATACAAAGTCTTCCTTAAGTCAGCTGAAAGGTAGCAGGCAACATGTCCCAATACTCCAATGGCAGGACTAATTTTTTTACACCATAATTGAGCAATATGATGTTCCAGTTGAGCTTGGAATCTATGTATAAGCCAAAATATTTAATGCATTCTCTCCTAGTCAACTGTTCATTGTCTATATTTATTTAGAATTAGTTCCATTCAGGCTTTTTTGATATCACTAAAAAATTTGACTTTTCAGTATTCAGAGTTAATTTTTAAAACTTTAACCACTCAAGAATTGGAATTAGATCTTGCTCTGTAATATATTTTATTTCATATGTATCTTTTCCAAAATGGATGAGACAAGTGTCGTCAGCATAAAGTTGCAAATAACCAGCTAATGGTAGCTGAGCTATGGAGTTTATATAGATCAGGAATAACGTTGGTCCAAGAATTGACCACTGGGGTACACCATATTGTAGATCAGCCATTTTACTTGAGGTATTTCCATTACTTACAAACTGTGTACGACCATTGAAATAATCTCTGAAGAAAGACAATGCATTTCCTGTTATTCCATAGTCTTCCAAAAAGATAACAGTACTGAGTGATTAACAGTATCAAACGCCTTCTTTAAATCAAGTGAAACAATGATATCTGTGACTGCCGACGTTGTGCTACTTCCACTACAAAAACCATACTGTCCCTTGTACTAAAAATTCTTTTTTTCAAGATAGGAAACAAGCCTTTGATTAATACATTTTTCCAGGACTTTGGAGATAGAACTCAATAGAGATATCGGTCGGTAGTTATTAGTGGAAGTTCTTAACCCTCCTTTAAATAATGGTAAAACTTTAGCTACTTTTAGTCCATTGGAAATTGAAGCATGAGTGAAAGTTAAGTTTATTAGGTTACTTAAGATAACCGACATCTCGTTTTTGAAATGTTTGATAAAGTCCCCAGAGATACCATTAGCACCACTGGCTTTTCTCGATTTTAACTCTGAAATTACTTTGTTGATTTGTTGAGGGATAGTTAACTCCCATTGATGTAGTTGTTGACGGTTTATAACTGTAGGTTTCGTGTAAGTAGACTCTGGTATATTTTCTGCTAAGGCTTTACCTATTTCTGTAAAATGGGTGTTAAGAATATCTGCAATTTTCTTAGGAACTTCTATAGTCATCTTCTACTTGCAGTTTATTCACTGTGTTTTGTTGCTTTGATATTTTATTATTATGAATTAACAAGTTTAAAACTGATCATATTTTTCTTGGATTACCTAGGGCACTTGTTAGCTGATTGTGATAATATTGTTTTTTTGCATTATATATTGCTGCTTTCAAGATAGTTTGACTGTTCTTGTATTTACTGTGAAGCAGAGCACTATTGGGAAATAACTTATGCCTCTTATAACACGTATCTCTGTGCTTGATTAGGTTATGCAAATGAATGTTAAACCATGGACAACTTTTAGTTCTAAAACGGTCTTTATATGTCCTACAGGTGGTATTGCTTTGGACTGTTCTCACTATTTGATCACTCAAGACATTTGGATCCTGTCACACAGTGTTAATTATACTTTGAAGATCTCTTCTACATGCTAACCTATTTAACTTAAAACATTTATAATATTTTTCATTGCTAATTGAATTGCATTGTTTTTCTTGCAATATATGTATTCTATGATCGCTTAAACAGTAATCAATAACAGCCAAATTACCGGAGTATCCATCATTTAACAAAACATAATAAATTAAAGTTCTTGAATTATTCTGCACTCTATTTGGAATGCTATAATTTAAATTAATAAAATTTAGTTAATCAATTAGGTAATCAAGGTTTTTTTTGTACATATCATTTTTATCTAAACAATTAATATTAAAGTCTCCCAAAATAAACATTTTGTTTTTATGATTATTGATATTTTCTAACTTTTCTTCTAAAACGTTTAAAAAAGTGTTTTTGTCAAAATCTTGAGGTCTATATATAGCACCTATATCAAAGTTCCTTTGTTCTAATCGTATATAAATAATAAAAGTTTACATTAGGTTTAATGTCATTCGCCAACTTTCATCAAGAATAAAATTTTCTGATAAATCAACTATTAAAAAAAGTTTTTAATACAGTTTACACTTTTGGCAACACACTGTATACAAAGTAACTTTATCAACTGTTATAGTAGGTATTTATAAAATTTTAGATATTGGATGATGATGTAATCAGAGATACTCTTGTAAAAATGTGGGCTAACCCCAGCGAAGAAACAAGTGTTGATATGGTTACTCCTGAAGACATGACATCATTACTCATGTGTACTTATCACATAAGCATGGATCACTACTCAGAAGGTCCGCAGATGTGCCTTTCATGTAACAAGACTTTAAAAGCAGTTGTTGACAGTTGTTTTCATTCTAAAAAACAGTTATCAGTACAATTTGTTTCTCATTGGATTGAGACTAATATACCAAGATTATTGCTTCCTCTTCATAGATATGCCGTTCATTCATTGGCTACATCCTATAGAACCCTGGAGCAATGTGAACCAAATTTAGCTAGTGGTGAGTTCTATTTTAAAATCAATAAATAGTTATAAGTATATTTTTAAGTATTAGGAATAAGTATTATTTTAATTGTATTTGTATTTTTTTAAGATATAGTTTTGTTGTTTGAATATACAGAGTGTTCCCAAAAACAATGAGTTCCTCTTATGTATATTTTGGTATTTGTTGCGGCGTTGGCGCCTCTACCAATTGGGCCATTGAAGCACACAGCTGCAACAGTCGAACTTTGAAATCAATCAGATTCCGATTCTGGTCAGCTTTTTCAATTTTTCTTTGGTTTGTTTTCACTTTTTCATAATTTCGTAGTGAGAAACTTATCATTTTACTTATGTTATTTAAGTATTTGCAATTTTTTTAACTAATTTATTTTAATGTTATTTATTTGCAACACAAAATATTAATACAGTGTCATTTTATTATGAAACATTAGGAGAATATTAAGCATTTTTTAAACCGCGAAAAGTAAAAGTTTTTGAATACTAAACTACTCCTCAAACATGAATTCTTGGGTATTTTTCATTTATGCTCCTTTATTCTGGTTACTGCTCGTTCATGCGCGAAGAAGTTCTCCAAAAATACGTGCTCGAGAATTTTACATTTCTAAATGACATACAATTTAGTCTTCTGTATCCATATTTTGGGGACACTCTGTATTTTTCTAAAATTATTTTATTCTATTGTAAAAAGTTTTTTTTATTTTATTCCTTATACTATTATATTTCAAAAATTTTACACTATATGGAAAACTTTTTTATTGATTTTTAAGAAAAGATTATTCTTGATAAAAATTGTTGCTTTTTTTTTTCATGCAACTAAATATCACCAATTTTTATCCAGAACATTTTTTTCTCAAAAATAAATAATAAAGTTTTCCATAGGGCACTGTATATTGTGGTTAATATAAACATTTTTTAATCATAATAATCATAGAATTCTTAAAAAATTTAATTGTACTTATTTTATTTTTTATATACATTTTTTAACTTTTCCTAGGTGAAACTTGTCAAGTTGCACCATATGCAGGTAAACAAAAAATAAGTGTTGTATCGTTGCTTATTGAAGCTTAGGTGTGTTTTATTTATCGTCTACTTTATTTGCAAATTTACAACTAGGAAAGACTTGAATATTTTTTTTTTTTCAAAATATGAAAATATTTTATGTAAAATATTTCTTCCTTATTAAAAAAATTGTTTTTACATTCAAATATTAATCCAGTTAGTAATATTTATTTGTTAGTTGTTTTATATGATTAACTATTAAATGTTCCACAAAAATAATTAATTTCTTAAAGTTCAGATCTTTCCTAGAAGATTATATAATTTGGTTTATTGTATTTGTTAATTTTATGCTTGTTACATTTAATATTTAAAAATTATTTTTCATATTCCATATATTTTTAGAAACAACTAAATTATTAGAATTGCAGGTGTCCAAATTAATAATTTTTTTAGCTAAATAAAATTAAAAAAAAAAACATCTCAGTGTCACATTGTACAATTTGATTGTTATTATAGTAACATCTTTATTATCCAACTCGTCTATATCTAAATTATCTTGAAAACTCAATTTCTCCTCTGATCTTGAAAGTTTATTGTCTTTTGGTTATTATTCGTCAAAATTATGTTTCTTCCAAAAGACTGAAGTTTCCCTTATAACCTCTAGAAGAAAATAGTAATTTGAAATTTTTTAATCATCTTTTATGTTTAATAAAATTATTTTCAATTAATTTGTAATATCCTCGTTATTTTTTCACAGCTAGTGGCAAGAACGATCGTTAAATATTTTTAGACGCTATTAATCCATTAAAAATGCATTCCGATCCTCGATAGCTATTGAACGTCGTAGATCTGGCAACAGGGCGCATTTGCCGCTATATGACCAATGTTATATATCATTATAGAGATTGCTCACCCTTATGTAAATAGGACTATGAAAAGCGTGTGTTGCAATAGATGCTGTTATATTGCCTTTCAAAATGTTTACCTAATGTTTTAATATAAAATTACAGCATTTAAATATTTAGAAATAATTTACTTCAAGACACGATATTGAGAAAAAAAATTTACACAGAATTTTGAAAATGGTCTACATATTATTATGACAATAGCATATACAAGGAATTGTTTTGAGGCCAACCTGAAACCGCATTTTGCTTTTTGTCTTCAACAATATCCATATCACACGTGATAGTAAAAGAGAAAATTTAATGATGAAATTAGCCGATCTTTAGTAAAGTTTATGACATCTTAAGTACCTATTAGTTCTGTCAAATAGGTTAGTTACGTTGTTTTAGGGTTACTACGGTATTTATTAATGTTACTTTTAGCCAACTAATATTAATTTGGTCTCTTGTGATACAAACACTCAGCTGGTTTATGGATGGTGAATTTTGTTTCTCACCTCAATCACAGTTATTACCTCATCGCTGTCTTCCTAGTCAGAAGATACTTACATAGGTACTAGTTCTATGCCTTTCTTGCTAAATTTAGATATAACCAGCCTAGATACACTTTTTCTAACAACCAGTAATATATCATAATCGACTTATAAAAGAAAAACTTTTCCCCTCCTCAGCGAAAACATATCGTTTTTGTTCACCTCCACTGTGTCGACAAAGACAATTCTTAATAGGGATGTATCTAGATAATTGTCATATTTTACTTCATACTGTCATTAGGAAAAGCGTCGTTGCCAAATTTACAATTTAGGAGATTATTTAAGGAGTCAATAAAGTTATGGATCCATTAGTTAATGAAAGATTTTAACAATCATTCTTGCAACCGTATGTAAAAAATCTCTTTAACATTAAAAGCAGTTCAGAAATTCATCATATGTTCATATTTCTGCTTCCTGTTTTATATAAAATTTAATAATTAACATTCTATTACATAAAAATTAAATACCGTCTGCTGAAGAACATTACATGTGTGTAATCATTTCCATCTCATACTTGCAAGAATTGACATTGCTCTTATAACAACCGTTTATGCTTATAAGATTATAGAGAATACATTCACATTGTATTTAATGAATTTAACTTCAGGTTTGGAATTAGCAACCCCTGTTTTGGAAGAAGCAAATCCATTTCCACAGGCTAAACCACATCCTCATATGTTAACAATGAGCATGTCCTGGTTGCTAGCAGGTGCATTACCAGCCTTTTACTCAAGACCACAAAAAGCTCATTCTCCTAGTAACAGTGGAACCGGTAAGGAAAATAAACATTTTAAATGCCTTTTTTATATTTATCGTTTTTATAAATAATTATAATATTCCTATTTTGACAGTTTGGCTTGTACCCTTAAAATAATAGAATAATTGTACAAGTTCATGAAATTGAAATATTGCATTAATTGTAACCTGACGAAACGGGTGCTAACTTAGTTTTACAAATATTTAAAACCTTGGCCTAAAATACGTCTAGCAGATACCCATGAAGTGATTTTTGTAGGACCCCAAAATTTCGCTTAGAGTTCAATGTAGCTGAATGGAAGAACAAAAAAGTAAACACAAAAATAGATTAAGAATAGTTTTATTTAAACTTATTTCTTATAGCGGGAAGTTGACAATAATGTTTGTTTAGTTTAACATAACACATGTGTGGCCTTTTCCATGTCTCATTTCTAACCGAAGGGATATTAAGCTCCCATGAACCGGTGAAAGTATGATGACAGTACTACAGCATATTTGTTATCCCCTTATAGTTCTCATGTACACTGCTAATAGAATACCTGCATACGTATTGTCTGATATAGTGAAGTTCAGCGGTATCACGAAGAATATGGGGAGATATGAATATGGATAGTTTTAGATACTCATTTGCGTTTTGAAAAACATGTAAATAACTTAATTGGGCGTGCATACTCAACAATCAAATTGATATATGGAAATAGGCAGTTCTTATCTTCTGATATCAAAAAGCTTTTATGTGAAAGTCTAATTCTCTCGATCTTTAATTATGCAGATGTCCTGTATGGGCAATACTTAACCAGCCAATATAAACAAAAAAATTCAAAAGGTGCCTTTGCTTAATTTTCGGTATTCCAATAAGACTGCCTATTTCTCACAAATTAAAGGAAATAGGATGGCTTAACATGTATAATAGAAGAACACTTTATGCTGCAAGTACATTTCACAAAATTATTGTTAGTAAAACTCCATTATATTTGTACAGGAAAATTACTTATCGAATTTTATCTAAATAAGAATGATTCCCCTTTTAAACACACAATTAATCACAAAATGATACCTGTAATAAAACCATGCTGTAATAACTCTCCTTCCCCGGCTGTATACGTAACTACTATATAAAGAATACTAGGTAGGAATGTGCGTCGAAAACGCTGATCTAGAAATACATTCTAGAACGGCGTTTCCGCGATTAAAACCGATAATCGTAGCGTCTAAAAGAAGATACGATCATCGCTAAAATCTACGCACGGAGAACCTCACAACAAAGAAAAAGATATCGTCGACAAAAATAGAACGACAATCGCAGTACTTTTGGTCGTTTTCCACAAGTTTTATACGGTTGGATCAGAGGTACTAAATAATTCCCTATTTCTTTATCCGGCGTCGTCAGCATAGGCAACGGTTCACCAAGACAAGTCACAAAGAATCTAATAACTCGGAGATGCAATCTTACAAAACCCTTAGAAGAGAGAAAAATTAAGCTCTTTTAAAACGCCCGTCTGGTTGGTCACCTGATAGGTAACAAATAACTACCTCTCGATATACAAATATATAACGAAAGAAGTCACCTTACAGGTAACGGTGTATAGCGCAACAGAGGTCGTTTCATAGAGAAAATAATTTATCTGCTCCCTCGATATCATTTACTGCGTTTTCCAAATATAACAAAAAAAGCTGTCACCTTGTAGTTAACGAGATAAAGCATTCAATATACTGGAAGAGTATAGGGAACGGAGGCACCTTAAAGATAATTGAATCTTACACTTTTTTTGTCAACGACGTGAAGAATTCTAACCCTGTTCTTACTTTCGAACGCCGTATTTATACTTTAATTTTCCCATTTAGTCAATGCATTAGACAAAGAAAGATTGAGTAACTAAGCTACCCACCTTTCATGTATCCTAATACCCAGATAAACAGCCCGAACAATATCCGACTTGCGGACGGCCCCCTGAATTCGAGTTTGCCTTTGAACAATTTACACCCCATATGAACAAAAGACATGCAAAATAAAAAGCGATTGATATTTCCTTGAAAAACGCAACAAAATATTTAAAGAAAAGAATAAAAAAATAGCAGACCCAGGTGCGTCGGGTTTTACAATGCATAATAGTTCAATATTTATGAAAAATTAGAAAAACATTTTAAAAATATACGCAATTCAGTTGTAAATAATTTTTTATTTCAATCTCATTGTTTGTTTTGTTCTAAAATTGATATTTTCAAAACATATGAGGTGTGTTTAGAAAAAAAATCTGATGTGTCCAACACATGACTTTCCTATCTAGTTATTACGTAAAAACAAAAAAAATCAGAATTTTGCACATTTTGTCAAATTTCTCGAATACGGACCATTTCAGGAAATTTTGACATAAAACAAAAATTATAGAAAATAATATTAGAAGTAACTGTTAATTGAACAATTTTCTTCTCCAAACATAAATAACAGATATATTCCATAAAATATAAAAACGGTCTCCCATAAAGTACCCCCCCAGATGTTCCGACTTTGTCCAAAATCTAATCATTGCACGTCAGGCCGAAATAAACCTTAAGTTTAAAATTTAATGTTTTTTTCTATATCCGTTTTTGAGTTTTCTTCAAAATTCGAAATTTACACATTTTCTCAAATATCTCGAATACGGTCCATTTTAGAGAAATTATGTATAGAATAAAAATTATAGAGAATTATATTACAAACAACTTTTATTTAAACAATTTTTATAAAAAATTATTTTTTTTACATTTTGTCAAATTTCTCGAATACGGACCATTTTAGGAAAATTTTGCATATAACAAAAATTATAGATAATTATATTAGAAGTAACTTTTATTTGAAGAATTTTCTTCTCCAAACGTAAATAACAGATATATTCCATAAAATATAAAAATGACCACCTATAAAGTACCCCCCCAGATGTTCCGACTCTGCCCAAAATCTAATCAGCTCATTGGACGCTGAAACAAAGCTTAAGTTTAAAATTTGGTGTTTTTCTGTTTATCGGTTCATGAGTTATGCGTTATACAGACACACACACACACAGACACACAGACACACACACACACACACAGACATCATCGCGAAAATAGTCAAAACGGATTCAGGGGACCTCAAAACGTAAAAATCCGTCGAAAACTCGAGGTCGAAAAAAATCATGATTCCTATACTTTCCTTATATCTGTATACAGATAGGAAAGTAAAAAAACCGGACTGATCCTTCTGCAGACATCGGTGAGGGCGTCAAGGTCGAACGGAACACGATTATGTCACATGACATATCTCTATTGCTATTCATGGTAAAGTTTACGCTTTGCTTAATTGAGCCGTGGCTTTCTTTGGAATTTGACCTTGCACCAAATTTAAATTCCTTGTGAAATTTGTTGATCTGAATATACCGTTGTTTAAGTATTTGGGCTGTTGCTGAGTCCATAGGATTCGAAAAACAAAGTGTAGATTTTAACACATCAAAGTGGTGGTTTCTTTATTAGCACAACACTGTCAATCAAGAGGTGTTTAGCCAAGTACAAATTAGATTTGAGACAGTTAAGCTGTTAAAAAAAGCATTAGAGACAGTGGACTCTTTTTTTTATGTATACAGTCTAATCTATTATTTATATAATCTCTCAATCAATGATTTATCTAATCTATGTTTTATCTAATCTACGATTTGTATATAATCTAATCTATTATTTATATAAATTATGATCCATATATTCTATAATTCATTTAAATAAACTATATGATTTATGTAATCTAGAATTTATATAATCCACGATTTATATAAGATTTATATAATCTATGATTTATATAATCTATGATTTATATAATCTTTGATTTATATAATCTATGATTTATATAATCTATGATTTATATAATCTATGATTTATATAATCTATGATTTATATAATCTATAATTTATATAATTTATGATTTATATAATCTGTGATTTATATAATCATGAATTGTTTAATCTGTGATTTATTTAATCTGATTTATATAATCCGTGATATTCTATGATTAATTTATATAATCTATGATATTCTAGGATTGATTTATATAATTTCTGATTTATATAATAGAGCTGTGGCAAACCGTATGTATTCGTTACTCAGTAACGGGTAGTCGGTCAGATACGAAATACGAATTCGTTACTGCATTTTAAATTTCGTTACTCGCATCCGCATCGTCGCATAACGCACAATAATAATACTTGATAATACATACCACCACCGGTTCGGTATGCGAGATGGCCCGTTGAGCGATGCGAAATGCGACTGTGGCCTTGATGCTAATCTGTTAGACAGTACCAAAACCTAACAACCGAAGCAATCCGTACGTACGATTAGTTACCGACATCAATTCCGCATCTGCATAGACGTGTGCGAGGCCCACACGATGCGCGTTCTGTAGATTCGTATCACAGTAACGAAAGTAACGAGTAAAGAATATTTTTATACGGGTAGTCAGATCCGAAGTAACGAATACATACGGGTATTGATTTTCTCGTTACTTTTACAGCTCTATTATATAATCTATGATTTATGTAACCTTTGATTTATATAATCTTTGATTTATATAAACAACTATGATTTATGTAATCTATGATTTATATTTATTTAGGTTTGGCAAGCATGTCATTCCTGGCGAAACTGGTTTGTGCCATTCCCTCCCACTGGAGCGTCATTTACGATTCTGACGAGATGGGCTTGGGTTCAAATCGATTCCTTCATCATGTTATGAACTACAAGGGCCCTACACTGGTTATACTCAGAGTACAAGACGGACAAAAGTTCTGCATCGCTTCGTGCAACGAATGGCGGGAATCTCATCACTACTGGGGCGGAGATGAGTGTGCTGTGTTTCAACTATTACCAAAGTAAATAGGATAAGTTTGCTTACTGATGATTACTGGTTTCAATTTGTTATATTATTGATTATATTTTCTACTGGTCAATCATATCTCGGATTATTGGTATTAATGGATTGTAAAACTTATATTCCGAAATTTTGCATCTGTATATTGAAAAATTGTTTCATAATAACTAACAAAACATTATCATCTCATTAAGGAAGATGTTTTAGAATCAAATAAATTAAGTTCTTTTAAGTAATCTTTCAAAATAAAAACAGCTCATTATATAAAGTCAGTTTGCATCAAAGCAATATAGGTCGTAACCAATAGAGGCTTTTTCTACAAAAAAAGATTAATTAATTAATTCATTACCTAAATAACGTATCTAACATCCTGATTAGCTGATACCAATAAAATGGTCTATAGTTTCTATCACAGAACTAGTTTCTTTTTTATTACAAAAGAAAACCTTGACTTTTTTTGAAAAAAATTACATAAAAAATGATATTTTGGTTGCTGTTTTCATCATTTTAATATTTCAAATTATAATTCAAAATAAGTACAATACTAATTAGTCGGTTTTTTGTAGGTTTCAGCTACTACAAAAAGGACCAAAAATGTTATATTTGAATTTTACTGTTAGAGGATATCCTCATGGACTTAGGGTTGGTAAAGACCCTCGTGCTCCTATTATAAGTATAGATGGTGGATTTGAAAAGGTACTTATAGTTTATTAAACTAACTTCTCTTTCAGTTATTGAAATACATAGTAGATATTAAAAAAATATTTAGGCTTTCCTAGAATGTGCGAAAATAGTATATTGAAAAATACTTCTTGAAAATTGAAAAAAATTGAAAATTACGTTAAACTAGCTGTTGTCCGCAGCTTTGCTCGCGACTTTGCTCGCATGTAGTCATGTTATTAATATAAAAAAAATACATGACTTCCTTTTTTATTAATTTTTATTAGTTTTATTGATTTTCATTCATTTGTATTAATTTGTTTTATATTTATTCATATTTATACATTTTTATTTATTTTTACTCAGTTTTAATTACTTTTGTTCATTTTTATTTATTTTTGTTCATTTGTATTCATTTTTATACATTTTTATACATTTTTATTTATTTTTTATTCACTTTTATTGGTCTATAATTTTCTACTAGGGAAGGATCTCATTTTTTGTCAATAGGTATTACAACAGCAGTCTTTAATCGCATTGGAAAAAATACCAGATTTAAAGGACTCATTAAGGATATAGCATAGCGGATGTATTATATGGATGCCGATGTTTTATTTAAGATCACATTACTGATGTTATCATCACCTGTTGAGTGTTTATTTTTCAAGTGATTGATTATAATCTTTAGTTCTTCTGGCGTTACATCCGATATGTATAATGACCTTGGATAGTCATCAACATAATTTAAATTAGCATTACTGGGCACACCTCTTAATAAATTTGTAGCTGCTGAGATAAAGAAATAATTAGCAACTGTAGTTGGTGAAGAGACTATCTGACCCTCAATACTGATACCTTCAGAAAAATTATTTTTTGTTTTAGCTTTGCTCAATTCAGAGTTAACGATATTCTAAGCAATTTTCGTTTTATTGTCTGATGTTAAGATTGTATTATTGTAAAATTTCTTTTCTCATTCTGTATTAGATTTGTATAATATGTTTTAAATTCGTTCAGTTGATATTTAGAGATTTGGTTTAATAGGTACATTTCCGATAAAAGATTAAGAGTATTTTTAGCTTCATTAATTTTTTGAGACCTCCACTAGGGTTTTATTGTTTTGCACAAATTCATCTTTTTTTAATGGGAAAGCCTCATTATAGTGTCCACAAAGATTATTAATGAAGATATACAGAACGAGATTCATAAACTGAAAGCCACGTTTCACATGCTAATAGTGAGTTAAACTTAGCATAGTTCTTTTGCTAAAAATACGTTTATATTCATGCTCTCTTTTGGGACTACAATTATTTCCAACTATTGACATATATTGAGCTTTATGATCAGATATATTTGTGTTTACAACCCTAGCATTAAACATTAAAAACTGTGGTACATAAATATTATCAAGGCAGGTACTGGAGGTAGACGTGACTCACGTGGATTCAGTAATACTAATTTGCATATTATACGCATCTTACAAATTATTTACCATTATCCTATTTTTAAAATTTCAGCACTAACATATCAATATTAAAATCTCCTGCAACCAAGACTATTCTATTATCCTGACAAGCTTTGTCTAATAGTTGATCCATCTTTTCAATAAAGTAAATAATCTCGGTTGTTGGAGGTTTGTATACAGTACATATTACATAACACAGACCATTATTTTAATTTCCGGAGCACAACACTCGAATCAAATTTTCCTTACCTAGTTCTTTTATGTCACATCTTTCTGCAAGCCTTAGATTATCACGAACATACAGCACTACACCACCATAACCAGTGGATGTATTTCAATTTGCCTTGCGGCAGTGTGAGGTGATAGGATTGTAGTTTTCTAGATGAAAAGCAGTCAAGCTATCCGCCGTCTGCCAGTGTTCAGTAATGGAAACAAAATTCACTTGCAGTTCACTTGCAACCATATTTATTGGATTCCAACAATTTCCAATAGACTCGGCATTTTGATGAAACAGACTGAGAGTTCTGTTATTTAGAGATTCCAGATAGGGTTTTTACTGCTAAATATGTTTAGTTTGCCTTATCTCCATTTCCAGAAAACGCTTATAACAGGGACAATCAGGATCAGTAGCACTACGATTTGTTTTCAGCGATTTTTTCAACTTGGTATTCCCAGCAGTTGATGCATTTCTTATTTAATGGGTCGGGGCATTCACTAACTTTATGAGCAGTAGCTCAGTGGTAACATATATGTGTGTTTTCACATTTTGCTGCAATGTGACCATATCTAGCACATTTATAACAGCGTAAAACAGCAAAAAAACTCAAGGACAACACATCTACTCCACCCAATATCAAGCTTACCCTGGTTACAGATCATGTCCTTTAATTTGACTTCAAGTGAAATAATGATATTTCCTTTGTTGTAATGGCCATTTCTTTTATATTTATTATGAACTGTAATAATTGACGAATCTTGGTTCTTCAATGTTTCTATAATAATAAAATCTTCACCATCAATAAATTCATCTTCCACACCTCTGATTATAACTTTGGGAGTTCCATCCTCGACTCTATATTTATTACTAAGGTCAGTAGTAATTTTTTGCTTTATCTTTTCCTTATTTAAATCCTTACAATTAATTATAACTGATCCACTTCTTCCTTTTCTGATGTTTTCAACTGTATATGTAATAAGCATTTTTGTTGTCCTTAATATCCTTTTGTGTGACTTTGTTTTCTTGTGTTTCCTTCGGCTTCACAATAATAATTTCATTAGAATTTGAAGCTACAGTCGAATACAGTGATGTTACAGGTTCATTATGTTTTTTTGATTCTATTACAAATTTATTTATTATTTTATCCTGATGAGCTTTAATTCTAGTGTTGAATTGCGAATTTACTTCTTTGATTTCCTGCAATAGTATCCTGTATTTTTTTAATCTCATTTGAAACAGTTTTTTGTATTTGATCAGAAATTATCTTGTATATATTATTCATTTCATTTAGCAACCTTTTTTCCATATTTTTTTAATTGATCAACAGATCCAACTTCCTTTGAACAACATTCCTGGTATATTTACTTTAGTAGTCTTCTTAGTGTTAATTGCATCACTCTTACCTCTGTACTAGTTATTTCAGAACAACTTTGATAAAAACTGTATTTGCAATAATCACATTTTATTTTCTTTCTTTTTTCCACGGCAGAGAGAATGACTTTACATTTATGACAACCCATTTGAATTTAAAGTGGGCAGAGCCAATAATTAAATATCAGTCTTGATATCTGATATCTCTTAACATAAAAAGAAGATAAGTTTTTTGTTCCTCCTGGATTACTTTTAACTTGATAGTAAATTATATATTTAATTATATTTTTACTAATTACTTACAATAGACTAAAGATCTGTAGTTGTTTTAAGTATCATCGGATTAAGAATATTTTATCCATGCTTAGGTATAATTTTCACTAATTAAATTTACTTTTGTACCAGCAAATTTAAGTAATTTTTGGAGAGCACTTTCAATTGATTTTAAGATGTATATTGAACATGATGGCTCCAATCGAAAAACATAATAATAGAGGTTTCTTACACTGACATAAGGAATCTATCGTTAACGGATTGGCCTACTTGTTTGGAACACCCCGTATAAACCTTTATTAGGCATTCCAAACAAATAAATTGCCAGTGGGAAGGTTTGGTATAATGGATTACATTTTAATATTTTATGTCAAACACAATAAATATTATTTTAAAAAACCCGCTTATACATTTTTTAATAAATTGGCAGGCTTTGCGACTACTATTTCGAATAAAAATAGCGTCCAAGATGCAAGACTATGTCGCTACCCCTTTAGATATACGAGAAGTTCCCACTGGCACCTACTATTTGACAGGTCGTGGGAATGCCTAATTGAATCTGACATTGACACGACAGTCAATTTGTAAACAAAATTACAAACTTACTGCATTATTTTATCTTTGTCAGTGCATTTCACATACTTTGATTACTATACGGTGCAAAAGAGAGGTCCAACACGCCCAACATAGGGCGCGGCCATTATGATTCCTATGCCATAGTTTATAGCTAAAGAATCAGATCGCTCACTCTGCGTCGGCACTTTTTATCTCAATGTTACAGTTTATACACTGCGCAACTCGGATAATACAATATATGACAACCGCCTATAATAAAACAGCAGTCTTCTGCGTATCCTAAATTTGTATCCCTGGAGTGGATGTTATTTTGGAACTTTCAACTGGTCCGAGTGAGCTAACTGATTCTTTAGCAATAAACTGTGACTCCAAAAATAATATTCACCGACACTGACAGCAGCAAACAAAATATCAGGTGCGTTTTAATCATCCGCTTCTGCTTCCGGAATTGTCGGTTTAGTCGTTTTAACCTGTCAGATTAAAACAAGAAAACCGACAATTCCGAAGCAGAAGCGGATGATTAAAACGCACCTATTAAAAATATTGCTCCAAGATGTAGGCAACACGTAATAAGGGATCAAAATGGCGGAGTTTTCTATCTCCTTTTAAAAGGCACTCAGAAAGCTGCGCAGTGCGACCGACCATTCTCCATATAGTAAGAGAAAATCAAAGTATGTGGTGCATTTACACTTAATTGTTGTCTTTGTCTAACACCGGGTGTAAAATGTTAGAACTGTCTTCCATTAGAGAGCTGCAATAACAATTAGGATTATTTCAGATTGAATGGCAAAAAATCCCCTATTACTTAGAATGTATTGAAGTATGGGGTTGCGGAGATCAGGTGAGTAGAGAACGTCAATTAGAAGTCAAGAAGTGGGAGGAAAAAGAAGCTGAAAAACAACGTGTAGTAAAATTGAGCGCTGCCGATTGGCTGGACCATCCAGATCGTTATTTGCTACAGTTAGCTGGACGACCGGAATACCATCAGAACCAAACTTAGAACAATTTTAATTCCTTCATTGTGACATAAAATTAGTAGAAAGTATATTATATTTCTGGGATTGAAGAAGTTATAATATTTGTGAACATTGCGCTGAATACTTACTTAACTTTTGAGAATTCCTATATATCATTGTGATTTACATTTTCCAAAACATTTACGAGGAAAAGATCTGTAAAATGAATTTTCAAATTATTTTATCGCTGTCTTTCTAAATGTAAGAATGATTGTTTTGGAGAGAATTTCGTAATTTTAATGGCTTAGTAGTGGTAGTAATAATAGTAATGTACAAAATTCACTATTTTATAACAATAAATGAAGGTTTTTTTTTTCGAGTGTAAAGGAAATGGTTCCAATAAACAAGTGCTCTTATTCTTTGGTTGCTAATAGACAAAATAATTTGTTAGAAACCGATGATTTAGTTATAAAACAAATAATTTGTCTCAGCTAAATATTAAAAAAAATATTTACTTAGTAATTAAATAAAATATCCTATATCTTTTTGGGTTTTAAAAAGATTCCACAACATTTATATGAAGTAAAAGCTATCGTGGTTCTATTTGATTTAAAATAAAGTATCAATAATAATAAAATACCTTAAATTTATACAATAATAGTATTATTCTTCTTAACGAATAGTGAAAAGAAGATTCCCTTGTGTCTCACATGGTTACCAAGGATTACCAAGATTAGACACTACATTAATGTCTCAAAAATTACCGTATATATATTTTGATGTATTAGAAAAATTCTAAGATTATTAAAATAGTCATTTTCTAATTGAACAGACACAGCCATAAAAATTCTATAAACTCTACAAGAAAGTTGAAACTACAAATAATTTTATTTTGAGATATTCATTGTTATTTGTTCAGCATACAGGGTGTTTCTAAATTCATGCGACAAAATTCAGGAGGTGATTGCTCATATGAAATTAAGATGGGTCTTTCCTATAACAAAATTTCCTCAGCCCATCCCTTTCCGAGATATCACCCTTAAAAGGTGGTGACTAAAATTGAGTTTTTATTTTTTTCTTCTAAAATTTCAGTAAAGCTAGAAACTTGTAATTTTGTAATTTTCGTGCACTCGTAAAGGACTAACCACGGGTATTTTTTCAATATTTCTGTTACATTATAGGAGGGTGAAATTAGCAACCTTTACTTTATTTCATATCAAAACTTTTTTCGAGATGAAGTTTTATGAAATAAAATTATAACTTAAAATCCTTGTTTTATTTAAAAAAAAAATTTATTCTTAAATTTTTTTCCCAAAACCAATAGCTGCAGAGAAAAAAAAAATAAACACCATAATTTATCATTTTTTTTAACAAATTGAGTGGAAAACAGTAAAGATGTAAAATATAATACGATTCATAATGAATGCTGGAAATAACCACCTCTAGCCAAAATAAGCTTTACTGAAATTTTAGAAAAATATAAAACCTCAATTTTAGTAAATTTTGTTATAGAAAAGACCCATCTTAATTTCATATGAGCCCTCACCTCCTTAATTTTGTCTCATGAATTTAGAAACACCCTATATAGTAGCCACGCCTTGGGGCTGAATTAACTGGTAATGTGCCAGTACCAATAAAACTGGATACAATAATCTGGAGTGAGGTATTTTTCCCACGGATGTTTGATTGCTTTAGAAAGGTCCTGTTTTGTCATTTTTGTTTTGTTATTCCTAAATTTTTTCTCATATCATATCATAAAATTATTTTTATAGATAAATGTTCCTTATTTAATCATTTTGAGATCTTTTCTGATACATCAAAATATCATAAATAGTACTCATCATAAAATACATTAATGAAGACCCAAGTGGATAAAAGTATCATGTCACATTTTTTAAAAAATGATTTTTATGACCTAATGTACTTAAAATGTATTATATTTTTTGTTTGTGATAGTCCTGATTTCCATTTTTCATCAATAACGGCTATTTATCAGATAGGAAGGTGCCATGAGCCATATATCGTAATGCAATTGTAAAACTTTAAACTTGTTTTTTTTTAAATAATCTTTTTGTGACATGACACCTTTATCCACTTGTGTCTTCATTTATATAGAGATTAAATTTGCAACAATACTTTTACGTTATAAATCTTGATAATCTTTGGTTATAGATTGGTTTGATATAACGCATCTTGTATCTTTGTATTTTTATAAATTTGTATAGTTTTGTTGTCAAATGGAAGACTTTATGCTATTCATAAATATTATTTACCTTTTAAGTATACTGTCCTGATTTATATTAACAAAAAATTTAGGGGTTTTAAGAGGAACGACAAGCGACATGAATGAATGTATGAGTTATTTTGGTTTTTAATAAAATTATTTCAAAAACCTTTGTGGTAAATAAAATCGCCTGTATTTTGTTATCGTAGTACTTAGACTAGTTACTTTAAAATGGTATACCTACTTAACATTTTTGTGAAAATGTAAGACTGTTTTAATGCCATATGCGATTATTTAAAATCGTTTTATGAGGAAGATTAATCTAAAATATTTCATTTGTATTGGAATTTGTTAATTATAAGCCGGTTTTTCGGTCCTTTCGGTTATTGCATTGTTACTTAACCAAAAAGCATGTCCAATCGATTGTTATATTACAAATAAAACATTATTTAAATTATTAATATATTTTAATATTTTTTTTTACTTACCTTCTGTACTTATAAAAAATCTAAGTCCATCTTACACTTATAATATAAATTAAAATTTATGTTTAATAAAAAATGAGGAAAATAAAAACAGGAACAAAGTAAAAAATATATATTTTTAAATAATGTTGCACATCCTATACCAAAAAAATAGAGTCGTGTAAATGTTTTTTACTCGAATTAGTTATGGAAAATTATACTCAAGTAATATTTATCCCATTTAATGTTAAACAAAGCATTTTTCAAAAATGGATTTTCATTTTTCACCCAAGTAACATTTTTAGTCCTTTTAGGTTCCAGTTTTATATGCTCAAAAAAGTCAATTACATAATATGTTTTTTGTAGTTGAAGTATCTATATTATTAGATAATGTTCTAACAACAGAAATATAGCACAATTTTTTGTACCATTTAACATCACTATAGGGTAAATAAGTAATATGATCTTTAGTTACGCCGAATACATCTAAGTGTTAATTAAATGTAATAGGCAAACATTGTAATATAAATAAGACACTGAGTTTCAATAGTTTAGATTACATACACAACAGTGGTAGCGAATTTTTAATAGGACTTAAAAGTTTAAAAATGGTTCTTGGGATTAAAATGATTTTTGAAAGATATAACTATGAAGACGAAAGTATACAGGGTATCCCATTAATGCTCGATATTTCAACTTGTGTTATAGACACACAAACAAGTTTCAAATAAAAGTTTTATGGACTTGAAAAAAGCTCGTTTTAAAAATACTTTTGAATATACAGGATGTTATGCTTTTGCCTGGTAAATAAAAATGTATTTTTTTTTTAAATGGAACACCTTTTATTTTATTTCAGTTTTTGAATGATTTGGTAACATTGTATTCAATCCTAGAATATTTCAAAAATATTACAGGTTTGCCAAGCAATTAATTTTTTTGTGAAATTAAGAATGATGCAGATCTCAAATAAAATTATCATAATTTAGGCAAGTTAGCAATAATTTCAAAATAGTTTAAAATAAAGACTTATAAGATATACCAAGCTAAAGAATATTAGTAGAACTGGTTCAGTTTATACAGCGTTTTAAAACACGTCTTAAATATGGCTTAATTTTCTAAAGTTTTTTAAATACAACACCCTGTATATTGTGTTAACATAAAATTCTTTATAAATTTACCTATTTAACGATACAAACATGTTAGCCTATTTACAGGGTGTCGCATAAGTGCGTAATTGATCGATAGCCGTTTTATTATTGGAAATACGAAAAACAAATAATATAAAAGTTATATAAACAGGGTAGGGTGTTCCATAAACAAGGGGCTGAACAAACTTATACTTTTTAAAACAAAACACTCTGTAGGTAGTTACACATATTTGATTGTTTTCATATCAACAAACAATTTTAATATGTTGTATATAGGGTGTGTCAAAACGCGAGGTTAGGATTTTTTAAAAGCAGTACCACCAATTAATTAATTTTTTTTTTTTTCATTTCTTATATCAAACCAAGACATTTCTCTGTAACAGTCCTTGAGTTTTACGTGTAATTATCTAGATGTTTTAAACTCTGTAACCAGTGGCGCATGCAGATTTTAAGTCTGGGAGCTAGTAGTAATATTTATGACTATTTCCAATAATAATAATAATACATTTTTAGTACCTATAAAAAGTTAAGTTTAAAAATTCTTGGATAAAATCTCATTAGATATTTTAGGTTTCTTCGGAAATTGAGAATCTTTATTGGGTGACTCTTCAAAAGGTTCCCATTCTTCTAAAAATTCATCTTATTTATTTTTTCTTTGCCACATATCTCCCCAGACTCTTCTTCTTTATCTTTTTTAACTTCTTTTTCGTCATAGCTAGTTTCATAGTAGCAGCTATTGAATCATTTTGGAGATAAAGATAAACTCTTTCTGTTGTCTTATTTTCTGAAAAATGTTCAAAAATCTGTAGATATAGGTCCTTACTTCTGTAGATATAAGTACTTACTTTAATAATATAGAATTCTCCATGTATTTGTAGAGTAGCCGTACATTGTTACTTCGGAGAGCACTATGCCCACAGAAAAACTGCGAGAAGCTTACCTACTAGTTATAAACTTTTTTATTATTAATAATGCTCTAGTAGATACATAAAATACATCGTAATTTTGGGTTAATAAACATATTATAATAAGTCTGTATTTTGAAATTTTTGCTAACCTACCTAAATTATGATTTTATTTGGGATCTGCATAATTCTTAAATTTCACAAAAATCTAATGCATGGCAACCCTGTAATATTTAAACAAAAATAGGGTTCAATACAGTATTACCAGACCACTCTAAAACTGAAATAAAATTTGTCTGGCAAAAGCGTAACACACTGTATATCCTTTTTCAAATCCATATAACCATTGAAACATGTTTGTGTGTCTATAACACAAATTGATATATCCAGCAATTACGCAATAATGGGACACCCTGTATAATAGTAATATTTCTTGTTGTTAAAAATTATATAATAGTATTTCTTGTTACATAATAGGTATATTTAACTGCTACTGTGCCTTTAATATTTGTGTGCTCAAACGTGTAATGTGTTGATTCTAATAAGCAGTATTAAATTGTTTTAATGGTAGATATCGAAGTGTGTTTTAAAAATTGTATTTACATTCCTATATAAATAATTATACTGCTTAAATTTTACAATCTGATGTCACAATAGTTGATTAGTTGAAACATAAACATTAATTGTGGTAATATTGAATTATAACTAACAATATTTAATTCATAACCTTTTAAGCTGAGTAGTTTTGCTTTTCACTTTTAAGAATAAAATAGGTGCCAGCCATTCATCTATTATCTATTCAATTCACTGTCTTAATGCAGTTGAAAATTAGTTTTATCAGTAAATTAAATATTCAATGAAAATATACCGTAAAACGGGGTTACTTTGGCAGGTTTTGACCTATTTTGGAACTCTTAAGTCAGAAACCGATTGGAAAATCAAACTTCTGAAAATTGCATCGTGAATTGTGCCCAAGTGACAATAGATCACCCAAATATGGTGCGTTTTCATGAGCCGCATGTTGGAAAAAAGTTTGTGGGGTGCCAAAGCAGGCAGATTTTTGGGGCTACTTTGGAAAATCTTTTTTGCGCCAATGTAGAGGCTGTAGAAAGCCTTCTCTAACACCAAATATGCTAAAGGACGGAGGCACAAAAAGGCAGCTTTGAGTTTGGTCCAAATATCTTTCATAGTTCCGAAGTTATTGAAGTTAGAATGCATTTCTTTTTAAGAATTCATTTATTTATCCAACCATTATAAAAGTATAACTAAAAAATTATTTCTGATCAAAAATGAACATAAATTCTTAAGAAGTTTAATAAGAAACATAAAACTAAATATTACAAAGAAAAATCCGTATCAGTCATCACTGTCAAAATCTTCGTTTGTACAGAAGGCACATTCATAAAATTTGTCCGTGCTCGCCTCATTGCAAAAGCCACAATTCCATTGTTTGCATTTCTTGCAACAAATCCAATCAATTCCTGTATATTTCTCTTACTTTCTGAAGCAAGTTACGCAGACGGCGTCTGTACTTTTAACGGCCTTTCTTTTCTTTTTTTTTTTGTAGAAACTGCAACTAAATTTGTAAGTGGTTTGTCGTCACTATCATCGTCACTAATGTTTGAAATATTTTTCTGGGTCCCTGATTGAGGAGCAACTATCTTAAGTTGTTTACCGGGCTCTATTTTCTTTCCACGCAATCGAGCGACTTTTTCCTTATTTGAACCGCTCAGATCTTGAAGCAGATCAATTAAGCTATCATTTAGGCTAGCAGCTTGGGCATTTTCGTCATCGTCTTGTATTTGCATGTCTGGAATTTTTTTCAGAACTTCTTGAGGATTGAAAGGACAGAGCCATGTGGCCTTAAATCCAGATTTTAAATTATTGGGACACATTTTCAGTGACTGTAACCCACAATCGATTTAGAAGGACAGGAAAATATTCTTTTGGAATGGAGGAAGTTGATTTGGTTTCACTGCGCCATTTGTCTAGAATCTGACGCCACGTTTTTTTTTTAAACGGGGCAAACACTGACAATGTAGATATTGTTCTCCTCACAAGCTTCAATGACAGTGGGTGAAAAATAAGAGGCTAAATTGTCCCTAACAACAATTTTTTTTTGTTCAGGATTTTCAATTTCTTTAATTTTGAGCAATAAAATTTGGAAAGACCACTTTTAAAATTGGTCCATATCGAACCAGCCGCTAGGTGTGTTACTATAGACTGTCCCAGGAGGACCACCTTCTGTCCAACCTTCATATAGATTGCCTGCCTTGTAGAACAGAAGTAAAAGTTGGAAATGCTTTTGCCAGTTCTTCCACTTTATACACATAAATTGACAGGTTGGCACCGGATCTCACCGAAGTGGACGCGATACATTGGCGTACAAAATTATTTTATAGATTTTAATAACAATTTCGAGTAAATAGTTTAATAAATTGTGAATAGCTGTTGAAATTTTGTAAAATTATAATTTGAATATTATAATACATGTTTAATAATTATTTATAATCCATAAATACATGCGATTGTCCGGTTCCGCCGATAACAATTTAAAATTACTTATTCTATGAAACGACACTGGCAGGTAAACATTACTGTGAAATTCTCGGAGCCGCCCGACGTGGTTTGACGTTTACCCCCTCTCTACCTACCAAAAGACTTTTCAACTTTTACTTTCTCTTTACACCACCATAGGGGGTAATAAATCTTCCACAGCGTTTTCACACACTATTATACTGATCAAGGTCTTGGAATGCTGTTGAACTCTCCCCTTGGAACAAGGATCTTTTTGGCTCCAGGGTCATCTTGAACATTAGTTTCATCATAATTAAAAACCAAAGAGGGGTCAATATCTTGCAAAATTATCTCTAATGATATCAAAAAATTCGCCAATTTGATTCGGCCCTACCGGCGTACGTGTTCGCTTTATGTTTGCAGCCAAACGGACACTCATATTATTCCGGATTATGAAGTTTTCAAGATAATATTGACCAGGAACATTGTCTTTAAACTTCTTAACGTCACGCCCTTTCCTTTCTAAGTATTTGTGGATTAATTCGCGAATATCGGCTTTGTTAAAAGAAAATCTCCAATTACTCACTGTCACTAATGTCTTTGTCACTAAATGCTCTTCTGCAGATGTAAATACCGTCGGATGACCTGGAGGGCGCGTATGCTCCTCCTTCAACTCATTTTGAAGGGTCCCCCGAGAAATTTTGAACCGTTTACTGTCAAAGAATGCCGAAGTGCCAAAGTATCCCCTTTTTACGGTTCAAAGTGAATTTGAAGTTAATTGACATCTTGTTGCATTTCGAAAATTACTGGATCAAGTTACGTTTTTCGCATGTGCCAAAAACATCGATGATAATATACGCAAAAAATTAAAGTATTTTTAGCCAAACTAACGATGTTTAAAATTGGCGTCACTTAAAAGTCTCTTTGGATTAGATACTTTCGCATTTCTTTAAGTCATTTTGTATTAAAACTATTTTCTCTTTCCATCACAAATGATTAGGACTATATATTTTATAAATAACACAGGTGAGTCGTCCTTGAACGAAACTCGAAGTTCAGTTATATCATGGGAATGAACAGTACTAAATCCAGAGCCAAAACCCGATAAGTAAGAAAATTTAATTGATATTGACGTTCAAAGATTTTTTGTTTTATTTCCCCTTTTAATTATAATAAGGTTACTTTTTTTCGTCAATTTAGTGTTTTTTATAAATTGACGCTTGCTTCAGATATACTGATATTAAGACAATAGGTATAAAATGAGGTATTTGTGAAGTAGGTGTACATTGTGAGGGCACTATGCTAACTTAAATAAGGGGTACTTCCGTATAACTTAAATAATCTTCTGTCATCATATAGGTACTTATTGGGTTTTCACTTTAGTCATTATTAAAGAATTCTGAAGAGTTGCCAAAGTCTTGATCAAATACGGTATCCTTATTTTGACAGCTAAGCAAGCGCATTAATATTTTAGTAAGAAATGTTGCTAAACAAGAATACGGTATTTCCTTATTTTTGGAAAATACGGAAATCTTATAATTGAAACACGGTAACTTACTTGTATATAAATGGGGCTATTCAGACTATTCCGGAAATGTCATTCGGATCATAGGAAGATGGAATGTGTTTCTTGCATCAAATATAATTATTCTGATTTTCAAGCGGGTAATGAAATTTTAAATTATGAATTTGAATAATAAATTTAGTCTAAAATTTATAACGAAAAATACTTTAGTACTGGTGACAAAAGTGTTGACTCAGAATCCGTTTAAAGATCCTAATCGATGGGAAATCAAAAGTAATATAAACATGAAGAAGGAAAATATTTTTCTCTTGTGAGAAACCATCTAAATATTTTATTATTGCAAGAAGAACAATGATTTTAATAAGATATTCGATTATTACTTGAGTTTTCAACTCATGTCACTTTCATAAAATACTCTTTAATTCAAATGTACTTCTTTAAACTGCTTAAAACAAACGTCTAATGAATTCAGCTCAGCCATCAGCGTTACCGTATACCATTTTTGTTTGGACCTTAGTCTAAATACGGTAAGGAATAGGGTTGCCGTATTCTTAAAGTAACGAGTGGCGTTAACTTTCTATTGTCTTATTTATCTTTACTGTAACTGCCCTTCCCCCGGTCGCTTCTTTAATTTTAAAAAGTATGTGTTTAATTACCTCCCTTCTCTTTCTGAAATTCAAAGTAATTATTACAGTAATATGCCTTCTTCCTCCTCTAGTTATCTTCTTGTTTATTAAGATTATTTTATTACCCACGTCATATTTAAAAAGTAATCCAGGATTCGATGCAAAGTTTGGTGCAAATTTGTGAATGAAATAATGTATTAAAAATATATTAAACTTGATTTATTTTATGCTGAAATAAATAGCCTATACAATTGGAAAATAAGAAATTATATTCCTCACCAAAACCTCACATGTATCCCGTTCAAATAAACATGCCACTTGCCATTAAATATATACATTTGAAGAATTCTTGAGGATATATAGCAGACATCCTCAGAATTGCAGTGTCTTAAATAATTATTTATTTCGTCGTTTCTTTTTTATGTATAATAATGTTTATTTTTATTAATGCATAAGAACTTCTTAAGTAACCCATAAAAAGGTGAGCTTGCTAAGATATAATCGTTGCAATAACATATGCATATCCCTTATGTTTCAGCCCCACCTAAGGGGTTTATGTAGTGTAGTCCTACTAGAATAGTGCCAGATCAGTACCAGCGAATTACCCCTTGTGTTCAGAACTATTTACGGTGCAACGATTGAGAGATAATTAACTAAGACACTCCAACCCTGCAGTAAAATCAAGCTTACATGTGTAAAACGTGAACCTAGACACCTGAATTCTCATTCACTCCAGTCAGCCGAGCTGTTTATTTATTAGTGATGGTGTATTGACATTTCGGTAGCCCATATTGATGAAATCCTTATGTTGGTATACTTAAAATGCAATGTGGCCCGTAGCGAGTCCATCCGGACGTCCCAAATGAGGTGCTAGTGAATAATCAATTCCATAATAATACAATAACTAAGTATTATTGAATAATAATAATAATAATAAGTAACACAATAATAATTATTATTGAATAATACATTTCCATGATACATTTTCATTTAAGAGCAAATCGAATACCTCGAATTATAATTTATCATGAAATTTTCAGGCAATACCAATAGGTTTGTTCGTAGAGCGATCCACAACCGTTTCCAACTGAACAGCGCATGTGCATTGAATATTTTGCTTTCGTAGAAGAATCACTAATAGTTTCCAATTATTAGTTTGGCGTTCGTAGAAGCAAATGAAGTGATTTCCATCTGATTGGAAAGGGTTGGAAAAATCCCTGACTATTTTCCGAATTTTAAATCCGGGGCATGCACACATGAAATATGTTTAATAATCTACAATTTAACATTTGTTTGGCGTGAAATTTGTGTTTATCATTCGTCAGTGCTTTTGTTGATTTAATTAGTTGTTTTTTTAGAAGTGTAATTAATACACATACATAATATTTAATAAAGTATGCAATTACATCAGACCACAAAGACCTACCATCCATTATCCTGATAAAATATCAGCCTTTAACTTCAAAACATGAAGTAAGGATTCAAAACAAGTAAAATATATTGATAAAATGTGGTGCAATTCATAAACAAAACTCATACGTGGTCATTCTGTGACTATTACAACGTTAAAATTCAAATATTTTCTTCTTTTTTTTTGTCCGTTTACTAAATCTGTATCTAACATACGAGAATAGATAGAGACGAATCCATAACTCTACAAAATGTGTTCGCAGAGCATAAAAATGACAATAAATCCCAAACTATTGGAAATCACGCATGTGCATCATAAAAGAATCACCAACCGATGGAAGCTGTCTCTACGAACAAACCTAATAATAAAATTAAGGGTTGAGAAACATTGAATTTTTTGTAAACTTTCAAAAAGTATTTTGACAATTTTTAAAAGGAATTAAAAAAAAATACATTTACGTGCCATACTGTATCAAATCAATGAAAATTTGCTGCTTTTTGTTTTAATTAATATCTAGTAGTTTTTAAAAGGGATGATTTCCCACCTTTTTTTCTTGAAGTCTCTACCTTATCGTTGCACAAATTTAAAGCTTTCAATATTGTCAAGACACATAATATCACGAAATATTGCCAGTGGCGCGCCTATAAATACAATTTTATATTATAAAATCCTTAAAATAATTTTGCTTTTGCTAGAGGTCCGGTTTGCTTTTAAGTTATTAACTCACCATCGAATATGCCGACCGTTGGACATCTGTTTCTATTTTGGACATTTTATATTGTATTTCAAACGGAAGCATTGGGACGTAGAAGCATCGGCACGTAGAGCGGCGGGACGTAGGAACGTTGGGTAGGAGAAGCGTCAGGGCGTAGCAGTGTTAAGACGTAGAAGCGAAGTTTGGGTATTGGCAACACTGATGCTAATACTAATCATAAATCGAGTATAAATATACCCATTACATTGTGAAGGTTCAAATCCTTAATCATAATACTAATGCAAATACTAATAATAAGGGAGTATAAATAGACCCTTAATGAATATTACTTTGTTAAGGATTCTGTTGTATGACGATTTTGAGTTGGTTTCCCATGGAATAATTTTTATCTTATCTCATTATTGGGCATGTACATGAAGGTTATATCTTCTGGGAACAGGGTTATTGGTATTATTTATTATGTAGGTATCGTAGATAAGATTTAATTATCTGGGAGATTTTTCGTTAAATGAAGGAATTTAAATTTAATAAGAATGCAACTTTTCTTTAATAAATTATGAAGGTACCTGGGTGAGGTAGGTCACATTACTCATGTATCGGTTTTTCGGAAAATCAGTTAACAATACTTGGATAATGAATTTCGCAGCGAGTACTTTAGCAGAAAGAGCACTAAAAACTGTGTTCGATGGTATATAATAGTCATTTTTTCCCTTTTTGTTTGACTTTTCGGGCTTTGTCACTACACCTTCGAAATACGGATTTGTTCCATCACTGAAATCCTTGATATATAGAGGAATTATAACTGAAATTTGATTTTCGTTCAAGGAAGATTCACTTGAGTTCTGTTTAGAAATATATAGACCTTGATTATAAAAAAAATATTTTTTTTGGTTTGCTGCCAAATTGTTATCTATTCATATTGTATGAAGGCTTTTCAGAACAGTCTATCTAAAAAAATATCTTTTACCAACATACGATCTCTTACCAAAGACAACTAATCAGCACCTATTAAAACACATACAGCCAGTTACAATAACGTTCATTAACATTTATGGCGCCAGTAAACTTTGACTGAGCTCAATAATACATCTTTGACCGACGTAAACTTCAAATTATACACAGTCTAATTAAGTTATACAGTCTTCAACAATACCGGCATCCCACGTGACTAAAATTGGTGTTGTCAGTTGGCTAAAAGTGACATTATATAGTAAATTCAGTAGTAACCCTAAAATGTCACTGAGGTCAGTGACATCTTAAGTCACTTAGGAACGATTTCACCGTTGTGTTAAACGAAGTTTAAAATGACATTTTTACATTAACAATGTCTTTTTAATCTCCGTTTAACACGACGATGAAATCGGCCCTAAGAACTGTCCATTTTCATTAAATTTATAATTTTATCAGATCACGCGGAATAATGGCAAAAATTACTAATTACTAAGAATGTATCAATATTACAAAGTCAGGTTAACAAATCTTATTGTCAAGCTTCGGCTATTTTTGTCCATTCTGGCAGGACGTTGGATTGCTTAATTGTTGAAGAGATATTGCAAATTTCTATAACGCCAGCCACTAATAGTGCCAACGTAATTAAAGGCAAATAAATTTCATGCTAAATCAAACTTATTGAATACCTGAATTTTTGACATTAGAATCCTTATACTTATTTCTAACCTAACTTTAAATTATAGTTTATCTTTGTTGTTGTCTATAATAATATATAAATATGGAAGAGGCATTATAAATGGCAATTTAAGGCGATTTTGATGGCAAACTCTAGAAAGTCGCCTCTAGGACAAGCACTATTTATTTTATTTTTTTTATTTTCTAAAGCTTAATCGACCTGCGCATGCTCGGATGTCAAAATAAGAGCGGCCCTAATAGTGACTGACCTTAAGTGAACTTGCAATATCTCTCTATTATAAATATCGAAAAGTCATTGTAATGAATGTCTAATAGACTTGTGCGATATTCCATGAACTGGTATTTAAATATTTTAATCTTGATAAACTGATATTTTTTACATGATTTTCTATCGGTTTCATAAATGTTTTCCAGGAAAATATTAATTAATTTTTAAATTGTTATTAATTTGGGGAAACGCAAACTCATTTATTTAAATTTTACTAATTATTATAGTAATAATTCAAAGGGTTATTGAAAAATCACGCCATCATCAAGACTCTACATTTTCTATCTTTAAGGTTTTACACGTAGGTAACTATTTAAAAAAGCTTGTGAATGCGAATATTTATGAATTGGATCATCCTATAGACCTGTATTTTGCTTTGATCAAAAATAATTGGCATGTTTGATATAGATATTATTAACGATTTTGTATATATACATGTGTATGCTAGTTCTGTATAATTTGTGATAAATGCTGTATTTTTGAGAATTCTAATCATAGTATTTTAAAATAATCGTACATTAATATTGGCATAGAAATGTTTTTGCCTTTCGAATGCGATGAATTCGAAGTCTTGATATTTATGAATTATAAGTAATAGTGTTTAAATATGAATTTGAACGTATAATTGCGGTCCTTTCTAGAAATATACTAATCTAACGCTATGTAATTATAATAGAAAAACCAAAAATTATTTTTGTAACGTTGCGAAATAAATCATCACAATGAATTTAATTTTTATTTATACCCACATTCACCCTTATTCATAATTTTGAGTGTGAAAAATAATGTGTTGCACCTGGATTTTCTCATAAAGTCTTCGCAGAAACCAGATTGAATGTATAGGCGGTAGGCGTGGTCACAGAGCTTCCGGTGTCTTATTTATAATACTGAAAAGTTGCATTCTATTATAAATAAGACGTTGGGTGTCTCTAACCACGCCTACCGCCTATAAATTCAATATGGTTCCTGCACATTGTAAAATAATGTACTTTTCGGATAGTAATCAAGCTCCAAACAAATTGATTCGTCAGTTTCTCGTTTCCTCCGCGTTGCAGTTTAGTTTAGGACATAAATAAAGCAGATACTGTAGCTCTATTACCAAAACAGCACAAACACATTTCGTAAATATTTCAACAATGTTACATTGAAACATTTGTTATGTATAAATATTACGAAACATTGCTGAAATATGCCTGAAACGTAAAAATGTCCTCTAAATATAATATTTCTCAGAAATGTATTCTAGTTTTTTTTTTAAATATATTATTAGACTAAAAAAAGACATTTAAAAATATACATGTTTATTTAAAATACACAAAACTCAAACATTGATTCTTAAACAAATAAATAAATATGTTTTAAAGAATATTTCATAAAATATAGAAGTGAATTGCTTCATTTCCACCAATTCCTTTAAATACACTAATTTGAAACAACTAGGTTTTTTTAATAAATGCTCCAAGTAAAGAAAAATTTACGATTATTATAATCTAATCATTATACTCTGTTTTTAACCGACTTCAAAAAAGGAGGAGGTTCTCAATTCGTCGCAATATTTTTTTTTGTGTATGTTCATCGATAATTCTTTAACACGGTGTCCGATTTCAATGATTCTTCTTTTGTTAGAAATGATATACTTCAGGGGTGGTCTCATATTTAAATTTGGTCAAAATCTAGTCTTATTAGATTGGCATTGTTGGATAATCTCAAGGTTTTCATGATGAAGCAGTATTTGTTGGTTACTACTGGCAAATTTGTGTATTGTATTTTCAAATCTCCACTTTAAGGTCCCTATGAAGGTCAGTATTCTGGCACTATATACCAGAGTGCATCGACTATGTTCTTTAATACTTTATACTGGAAATGTTGAATAACTTTGATGTTATTGTTACTGGCACAGCCTCAAAGCTGGCAAATTGCTTCATTTCCATCAATTCCTTTAAATGCACTAATCTGAAACAAAATATAGGTAATTAAAAAGGATTTATACAAATTATTTGATTAACAATAATTTTATTAATAAGGTTTTAAATTAACTCAAATCTATAATTATTTAGAATAGGCTTGTTTCTAGCTGGTGGCTGGACTGGGACAATAAAATAAAATAACAGAAATAACTACATATCCCAAATCAGAAATTCTTCATTAATTATTGGTCTTTTACAACATAACCCGTTTAGTAACATTTTGTGCAACATGTATACCATGTTTCAGAAACATTTTCAGTGAAATATTTAACAAAAATTTTTCCGAAATATTTTAGAAACTTGTGCTTGAAATGTTAAATGTTTGAAATATTTCTGAAATAATGTGTGCTGTATGGGACGTACGGTTCCATTTCCGAAAAAAAGCATCAAAGAAACGAAAGGCGAATTTTAGTGTTTCTCGAACCAGGCGTAGAAGACGATTGGAACCCTGAAGAACTTCAGATATTGTTACAAATATTGACACCTTCTCATTTTAATATTCACTACATTTTAGTATGACCATCCCGAAAAACCTCGAATACAATATATCATAAAATGTAAATAAGCAAACCTAAGGGATTAACCAATAATTCTATACCTCAGTGATAGGAAACACGAAATTACTTTTATATAAAAAATAGTAAACTGTCATTATTAAATATTCACATTTATTTGTATAAAAATAGTATACTAGATATTAGGTTAGGACATTTCCTTAAAATTTAATAAATATACACAACCAAATTTATGATACATTAAAAAAAATATTTTCAGGGTGATTCCATAATATAAATTCGTTTGTATTTCGGTTACTAGCGTCATATAAACTTATTATAATTAATATAAATATAGAGTTACATACCTAAATAAATAAGTCATATTCTCCCGATAAAGAGTTTCCTCACTTCCCACAGAAATAATAATTGGTTCTATTGTTTCCTCTATTAACATATCAAGTTTCCAGAATTTCTCTTCCTCTGCTATGACATGTCTTAAAAAACAGCAGCCATTTCTTCATGGTGTAGAATTTAGCCATCTTATATGTTTTTTGAGTCGCCGATTACGAAAATCGGGGTTAAAACTTGGTTGAACCACCCCTAAAATCCACCGGTTGGGAGAGGTGTTTCTGGCATGTAGGGGGTGTCACACAAATTTTCCAGTCTCGACACCCAAAACAACAAATACAGTCGAAAAACACCCCTAATTAGGGGTGTTTTTGCAATTTTAGGGGTGGTTCAACCATTACTGCAAGTTTTAACCCCGATTTTCGTAATCAGTGCCCCAAAAAACATATGAGATGAGGTAGTTTGCAAAACAACAAGTATAGTCGAAAAACACCCCTATTTATGGGTGTTTTTTGCAATTTTAGGGGTGTCCCAACCATTGCTGTCAGTTTTAACCTTTATTTTCGTAATCAGCGCCACAAAATACGTAGGGGACAAGTGGTCTCGTCAAGTGCGGCGTTTCTCGACCTTTTAGCGTTATTTTAAATGGACTAATACCAGGTCACATTGTGTTATTCGCAGTCTATTAAATAGAATGGGCACGACTTTGTCCTGGCATTCCAAATATGTTCATTCCACTCAGATGAAGTTCTATGGTAGCCTTCTGGTTAATTATATAGAGTGCTCCCCGAGCCACCCCGTGTATTTCTTATCCCATAGTAATTGGAAAACTTTCCCGAAACACGTCGGATGATTTTCTTTGAGTGACATCTTTTGACGTATATTTGAGGTTTGAACGAGCAACTCCCTATGAGGGGCGCTTCAACCCCTTAAAATTGAATAGGGAAGAGGGGTTGAGTGATACTTCATTTGTAAGGTCTTGGAAGCCTCTTTACAACAGTGTATGAAAAATTAATTGTTTTATCATGCTTACAATCAAAAAAATCAAAACTGCGTTTTTAAATCAAATGTTCAAATTGTCCTCCATTGACTTCCATACAATAATACAATCTTGACTGAAAACCGTTTCTAACATGATCCAGTATAATTGGAGTTATTTGACGACAAATTTCGTCACAAAAATCTTGGACCTAAGATGTCCCCATATAAGAAGAAGTCCAGAGGGTTCAGGTCAGGAGAGCGAGCAGGCCACTCCATAGGACCTCTTCTTCCAATCCAACGACCAGGGTTTTTTAAATTGAGGTATTGGCGAACTGGTGCGGCGTAGTGAGGAGGAGCTCCGTCTTGTTGGAAATGCAATTGTTTTTCAATTAGTAGAGGATCGTTTTCTAATTTTTCTATTTATTAACGGATCAATCGCATTTTCCAGCTTTTCAAGATTAATTTCGCCATTTAAATTACCAAGAATAAACAGAGGTCCAATTAGGTGGTCTCCCAAAATTCTTACCCAAATGTTTAGCTTTTCCGGATATTGAGTGTGAGCTTCTCGAAATACATGAGGATTTGTATCGCTCCAAATTCTACAGTTATGCCGGTTAACCTCTCCATTAACTGAAAAAAATGCATTTGTCAGAAAAGCAAACGTTATACAAGACATTTTGGGTTATTGTTGATACACGCTCGGCCATAATTTCGCAAAACTCTTGCCTTCGATCTAAATCATCATTTAATTCATTATAATTTAATTTTGTACGGATGGAACTTGTGTTTATGTAAAATTCTGAAAACGTTACATAGGCCAATACCGGAAACTGCAGAAAGTTGTCGGACAGATTGCGTGTTTGGCATAAGTTGGACATGGCCCAATACCGCCACAGCTGCTCCTTCATCATTTACAATTCCAATGGGTGCCCTTTTTATCCATTACTGAACCCGTCTCAACAAATTTTGAAATCAATTCCATTACGTACTTATGGCGAACGCTACGTTCAGGATGGTTTCGGTTAAATTGCAGCCGCTCGGGCACCATTTTGATTTTGGCAATACAGGCTAACCAGTACAACACATTCTTGCAATGTGTACACCATAATTTATTTTTAAAATTGTAAGCAAATCAGCAAAGCAGTAACTCAACAGATTGATTTTTAATACATGAAATGATCGAGGAAACGTGATAAATAAACACGTTCTAAGAACAAAAAATGAAGGCAAGATAAGAAAATGTTTTGATTTTTTTTTATTTATTAGTTCGAGAGAAATTATTATTGTATGAAAGTCAATGGAGGACAATTTGAACATTTGATTTAAAAACGCAGTTTTGATTTTTTGGATTGTAAGTATGGTAAAACAATTAATTTTTTTAAGAATGTGATTTTTTCATACACCGTTGTAAAGAGGCTTCCAAGACCTTACAAATGAAGTATCACTCAACCCTTCTTCCCTATTCAATTTTAAGGGGTTGAAGCGCCCCCTCATAAGGGGTTGCTCGTTCAAGCCTCAAATATATGTTAAAAGATGTCCCCAAAAGAAAATCATCCGATGTGTTTCGGGAAATTTTTCCAATTACTATGGGATAAGAAATATACGGGTTGGCTCGTCTGAGATGGAACATCCTGTATAGTTCCATATTACGATCAAATTCTAAGTAACTATGTCGCCTAACTATGAATGTCATTTTAATTTTCACGTCAGTTTTGTACTAAACACGTGAGCGCCACCCATCGCTGATGGACATTACCAGTTTTTCACCGACATGGCGGGACATTCAGCTTTATTGCTTTTAAGACGATGCAACTTGTGAAGCTCATTCGTAGCTAGTTCGAAGACTGTCAGATTCTAAATTATTTTAGGTATGGACAGAGCTGAGGTACTCAGTACAAAAACGTACTTAAAATAAATAATCAGTAT